TCCCTCTGGTCTGGTAATTTTGAAAAATAATTATTTTAACAGATGAAAATTTGGTAATTTTTATGTTTTATTTTGTTACATAATCCTGATTAAGAAAGTTTACTTTTTTTTAAAAATCAGTTTCACCCTATGCTGAATCCATGAAATAGTGTTTAAAGTTTGGATAAACATGTTTAATCAAGTCTTAGATACTCAAGACTGAAACTCCACAACCATTTAGGAGTAAAATATCTCCATTTTGGTGGTTCCATTGCCAAGCTGCAACAGCAAAGCAGCAAATCTTCCTGCTTCAAGGTCACCAGTGATTCTAACTTTCATGTTTTTTTTCAGGCTGAGTCTTTGAACATGGCTCTAGATGTAAAAATTTTTCAGAGAGTTTTGTCCCTTTAATTGAAAATGTATGACACACACAGACAATTTTTGCATTTATTATATAAGGTATAGAAGCAACTTGGGTTTCTATCTTGGACTGTTTATTGTTTTTTTATACAAACTGTAGGGAACCAAAGTTCTCAATGTCTCTTTGGTATGTCTGTTTTCTTTTTCTGGTCCAGAAGTAAGTCAGGATAAGTAATGATAAGAGTGGTTATTATGGTGGAACTCCAGTCAGTGTTGCACTGAGTTGGAACAACCAAAATAAATGTTGTACTTACTTCATAGGTGGAGGTGCAAAATTATGTCTGAATGCTATGTGTTGGAAAGTTGAAAATGAGATGTTCTGTCCTTTCTGGAAGTGAGATCATAAAATTGCACAGATGACCATAAATCTGTTTGGTTCCTTTATTACTAGCATCATGAGAAAATGTATTGTTTTTTTTCTTTATTATTTTATTTTATTGGTTTTTATTTCATTTTCCTACATTCTTGTTGATTCTATTTGGTACCTGACTAGGATTGTCTACACAGGTTGACAATCCCATATCAAACATATGAAAACGGAAAACCAAATATTTTTAGTATGGACTTTGCACACAAAAAGCTTACCTACTTGATCCACACCACATTGGCAACAGGTGTCATGATCGGCCCAGCTCAACCCACCACTCCCCCAGCCTGGCCAAATGACCTGAGCCTGCTAAACATCAGTTGTTGTCAAGCATTCATATTGGGTAGTGAGTGAGTGTGCAGTTTGCTGATTTTTTTTTTTTTTTCTTTTCATAATTTTTGTGACTTTATACAGTGAAAATGTCAAAAAGAACTGCAGATAACCTTATGGGTAACAATGCGAAAAAGAAAAGAAGCATCTCTTATCAGTAACACAAAAAGTACAGCTTTTGCAGAAGCCTGATTGCTTTTCCTGTGTGGAGTCTGACTGTGGAATATGGTGTTGGTGTACAATCACAGTGCATGATTTAAAGAAACAAAAAGACAACGTACTTTAATATGCCTAGTACATATATTTTAGTGAGCAACAGAGAGGTATGAGAGTGCTACATATATTTTTAGTTTATTGTTTGATGCTGTTCATTCTTAAGTTATATAAGGCATTTCTTGTCTGAAATAAATCAAATTTATTCATTACTTATGTTCTCAATTATCCCTCTGTTGCATATATTAGTATATTACTCTAAATAAACTGTAATAATATTTGCAGTCATTTTTTATCCCGGATGGTGAGTATTCATACATTTTTGCTCCAATATTGTTTGAATTTCTGAAAACTGAAAATATCAGAAAAGCGAAACATAACTGGCCTCATGGATTATGTACCTGTAATATTATTATTATTATGTTCCTTCCTGCATTTGAATGTTAAAATTTCACTAACAATCTAAGTGAAAATAATCTCTTTGTTCATATGTATGTTAAACTTTCTGGCTAAGAGCATATTTGGACACTAAAATTTAACTAAGTGAATTTAGCTATTATTTTGACCTCTAGCCAAGAGACAGGCAAGCAAATATCTGTTAGACCAGTGTTTTACTGCTGGAATATAAGGCAAAATTACCAAATTAAGAAATTCTTTAATGTTTGTAATTATTTAAATTAGACACATATATTTCTTTTTGCCATTTGAAAACTAAATAGAAGTGACTATTTCAAATATAAATATTAAAAATTTCTTAACAGTATTTCCAAATTAATTTCACATGATATTCCAACATTTGAAATGTGAGCTGATGAATTGAATACTGTGAAATTTTTATGGGTTCAGCTAATTATGAGTGGACTGTATTAGAGGCATTAAAAAATGCTGTTTGTAAGATACCATAGTTATTTAGAAAGTCATAAGCCTAATGAAAAGTAACCATGTATTTAGGTGTCTCTCAAATCCTCACTTTTGTCAGTAGTTACTAATAATTAGCTATTTTAATCTTGAACTCTAATGATCTGCTTAAAAGTGTAACTGTAACCTTTTAATTGCAAGTCTAATAGTGAAATTAATAAAACTTTTCAAGCAATAGATATAGAGGAAAAAAATGTATAGCATTCAAAATGAAAAGTAAATTATAAAGTACTATCTTTATGATCAATATGATTAACTTTAAAAATAATTGGTTTTGTGATGTATGGATGCCATTAATAATTAAGTATAACTCAAGACTTCAATGTTAATATAAAACAGTATTTAATAACAACCAAAAATAAATATAAAAAAAGTAAAAGTCGACAAAAGATAATTAACCATTTCAGTGAATACCTTGTTAGTAGCATAGCTCAGCTTAATGTCTGGTAAATCCTAAATCAAAACCCAAATCATCGATATGCAATAATTCACACTAACTTGACTGGATAGTTCCATTTGATTATCACTCAATAATCACTCCAGTCAGTAGCCTGACACTGCTATTTATACACCTTGGCAGAAGACATATATTCATAAGTCCAGAGTATCAAGTTTGAACTTTGGTGTCGGTAGTTACTCATTTCTTCCTATATAACACCTCCCCTTTTTGCGATGACATCTCTGGAATCTATATCTCTTCAATTTGGTTTCAGTATTCAAATATTTTCTTACTGTTCTTTTTCTTTTACTGTACCTCCTTGGTTCACTAATTTCTAGTGGCATGGGTATGTCAAACATGTCATACAACATTTCCATAGGTACCTCCTTTCATGGACTTACTAAATCAGTGAATCTCCATTTTAACTGATTAAAATAAGGTGTTGCTTATGTTCCCACCTTTGTCTCTGTACTTCATTTTTCCAATCCATTTTTTTATCATGCTGTCTTCCCAGAATTCTTTTTCATGTTGGTACATTTAAAAAAAAACTTTATCACCAGGTTTAAAATATTTATATTATTTTGGTTCCTTGATGTTCTTGCCTTCTGTTCTGGTAGTAATTTGTTAAATACAGACTTAATCTTCCTGGCGAACAACAGTTCTGCCAGCGACATTCCAGACACGGTGTTCAAGTTTGGTGTTATTCTGAAAATGCTCTGAAATTGCTGAAACATTATTTCATCTGTTTCCTCTCTCTCTCTCTGACTTTTTTAGTGCCCTTTTAAAGGTATCAACAAACCGTTCAGCTTGTCTGTTACTTCTTGGGTGATAAGAGGGCATTGTAATGTGTTCTATTGCTAATGATTTCTGGAAACCTTCAAATTCATGTGAAACGTGTGCAGTTGTCTGTAACGATAATGTTTGGTACCCCAAATTTTGCAAAAATCTTTGTAAGAAAGTTATAGCCTGGATTGTATAAAAATTCACTAATTGAATTAGTGACAGCATCTGGAGTGAATAAATGTGATGTTTTTTCCAGTGAAGTTCTATGTAATAATCATCCTAGAACTTTCTGTTGTTGTTGCAATTGTTGTTCCAACATTTGAACCATGATAGACTTTAAATCCTCCATTTTTCTTTAGTCTGCCAAATTGATTTTTTGAATATCCTTACCATACCAGATTATTTACTTGTAGTTCTGCAAAATTCGTAGTATCATGTATCATCACTTTTCTGAAGTGGTAAATATTCACAGAATATCCAGTTAAGATGTTTTTTTTCTTCTTGCGTGAATTTAATGCGAATTCCTTTTGTGATGTATGGTGGCCATTAATAATTAAGACTTCAATGTTAATATAAACAACCGCAAATAAATACTTAACAAGAACAAAGAAGTAAAAGTCGACCAAAGATAATTAACTTTCAGTGATACCTTGCTTGGCTTAACATCTGGTAAATCCAAAATCAAAACCCAAATCATTGACACACAATAATTCACACTAATTCGACTGGATAGTTCCACTTGATAGTCACTCAATAATCACTTCAATCAGTAGCCTGACATCATTATTTATATACCTTGTGGAAAATATATTCATAAGTCCAGTGTGTCACGCTCAAACCTTGGTGTTGGTAGTTACTCATTCTCTTCCTATATGACAATAGGTAATGAAAATTTTTGTATTTAGTACTTATATTGAAAGCTTTTGAATATGTTTCAATGAAAAAAGCTCTAAAATGGTTCACATTTTGGTTTTCTTATCATTCATAGTGTGTCTTTAATAATGTAAAAATTTTAAATCTCTTGAAAACCCAAAAGAAAAAACATCAATAATCTAAAATGTATACAAAAAATTATACAAAGTAATTATGTTCTAGTACTTTCTAAATACAATTTATAAAAAAATAAGTATTTGACTACAATATTTATTTCTAAATGAAATTGTTTTTGAGTATAATAACCTAATAAAAAAACATTTTTGTTCATTTTTAGAAAATTTACATTTCACAGGAAAACACTTAACCTTTTTGTATGAAAAATTTAAGGACTAAATTTACATATCAAATATAATGATTTTTATTTGCAATTTAAATTTTTCTTATGAAATTTCTTATTCAAAATCTACAAAATGTTATTGATTTCTTTTCAGAAAAATAACTTTATTTAAATTGATTTTTAGCCCCTATGTATGTATTATCTTACGATTTACTTAAAAACTTTAAGATATTATTGTACAATAAAACAAGTGTAATAAACTAAAAATGATGTTACATTTAAATAAATAATTTCACTCTGAAATAATTTTTTTTTTTTTTTTTTTTTTTTTTTTGTAGGAAACATGAGTTATCCTTACTATGGTGCAGGGCAGAATGCCCCACAGAACTATCCTCCCAACATGGGACAACAACCTAATCCTTCAATGGGTTATCCAAATGTAAGTAAATTGTTATGTTTGAATCAGAAATATTTAGTCTTGAATTTATGTTTGCTTGTTTGATTTCTTTTATTCTGAAAAAAAAAACATCATCAAATAAATGAAAAAATATATATATCCACTTTTCAGTTTTATTTTACCTGGTACATAACCAATATGCAACATTACCTGTGTAACTTTTTAAGTAATTCATTTTTCAAATTGTAACTAACTTGTTGCTACATGTCACTTAACAACCCTAACAAACACCTTAGATATACTATACAAAGTTCAAAATGGGTCCTCAAAAATCCTTTCTTAAGTAAAAATAATGTTCATGAATAAGTAAAAATAATGTTGTTCATGTCCTCTGGGAAAATTCATCTCCAATATCAACAATTAAAAAACAGCATTAAATTCTTACATCAGGTGCACATGCACCACACTCTTGTAGGTTGACTTGTCACCTGCTAAAACTAGTAGCTATTATAAAAAAATTAACAACCCACATTAAATATCTTTCACTACAGGCAACAATATCTTGAGTGTGTATGAAATATTTAATATGAATATAAAAATAAAAAATGTATTCTTGGTGTGGTCTTGCTTCCCTTGACATTACCATAGACTATTTTAAACTAGGATATAGCCAACAAAATCTTGCCTACCACACAGACACCATATCGTTCTTGAAAATGACTGAGACAGTTGAATGAACTTGAAGAAAACAATAGAAGAAAAAAAATGAACTTTGAACAGTTTATCCACAATTTTGATACCAATATACTGGATTGGTGCTAGGGTCTCATGCCCCCACTATACTTTGATAATATAGCAGTCTAAAAATAAATACATCCTTTACAATTTCTTTATAAAAAGTTAAGTTTTTGTTCACATAAGACAAATCTGCTTTTCATTGCTATCCATGGACTGATATCTGCTATTCCCAAATAGTTTCAGTGGCATGTACCAACTCTAATGTTTACCTAAGAGATACCCATGAGGACTGCCTTGTCAGTGACAATACATGATGCTCCAACATCTTTGCTCACAAAACACAATTCTTCCATTCAAAAACTTTCTATATGATGACCAGCAAGATAACTGGGCTAACTTCAATGTTGTTAGGGATTGACAACTTTCATAAAAAACTGTAAAAGTGCAGAAGAAGATGCTATAAGTGCTGAACTTATCAAGTATAGTCCAAGGTCTTTTTATTTGCAGATTGCTAGCACATTCAACATTATGACTGAAAAATAGAAAATTTTACAGAGCGTTTTTTTCGAGGCTTAGCATGAGCAAATTATTGTAGTCCAGTGATTGAACACATTCATTTTTAATAGAACTCATTGCTAACCAACACAGCATGTTATCTAATTGTAAATCTCAGATAATTTTTTATTAGTTTTAGTTTGCTGAAACTTCTTTTGGCACTTGCAACTGTCACTGGTGTAGTAAGCAACTTTCACAATTCAATACATAAATTCTGATTCTGAAAAATATAATCCAAAAAATCATGGGCAATTTTCAGCTCCTGAGCTGAAATTCTTGTTGTAGAATTGAGGCAGCTTTTGATCTCATGGGTCAATTCTTCTAGTTCAACATCAGACATTTTTTTGTGAAATCATTTGCATTGTTTGTTCAAATTCCCACTTCTCATTGCATTCAAAAGTGAATTTGAATTTTGATTGAATCCATAAAGTTCATTCCACTGGGATAGCTGAGAAAACCAATTATGAATTGAAGACAGACCTTAATCCACAAAAGAGATACAGAAGTCATGACAAAAATGTTCTTCAGGTGTTTGAACTTCATTGCAAGACTCATACTCAAATAAACATCTTTTGCAATGTAGGTAAAAACCTTTCATGAATGTAATTTTCTTCTGCAATTTCACATGCTGTTGACATAACCATTTCCATTTTAGTCTTGAAGAAAACTGCAAGTTACATTCATCTCAGCAATCATAATGTCAATTATAACATCAGAAGACTGCAACAATTGATTCACTTTTTTCACTTGAAACAGAACATTGTACCAAATAATGATGCTAAGCAAAGAGTTCCAAGTAGAAATCTAGTTCAATAATGATGATACTTCAGTCGTTGTTACACCATCTCTCTTTTTCAAAGACTTTTTTCACAGGTTGGGAAGAGCATTTCTAATGTTTTTAAAATGAAAACAACAGTTTGACAGTATATATTCTCATCTTGTATCACGCTCTGCTTTCAAAGAAATAAGCACATTAATAATATCTTCAAAGGTCAAGGCTAAAAATAATGTATACAAATGATTAACTACCCCCAAAAATGTAACAGAAACCACTGATGACTGCTGACTGCGCACAATCCCACAAAACAAGATTCAAAGTATACACATTACGTGGAACAAATAAAGCCTTTTCATTCATCTCAAGTAACCTTGACTGAAGACCTTTATAGTTGCCTGTCATATTGATGCCATTGTCGTAACTTTGACCATGACAAGCTAATAAATCTGTCAAACATTTTAACATCATTTAAAAAACAATCCCATTTCAGTAGTATCATCTACAATGAAAAAAACTGAAGATTCATGAATCTTTACACATTTTTTGTTTCTGTGATCCACTTTTATAATATCATTTCATAACTGTAAGATATGATTGAAAATTTAATTTTATCATGGAAACAATAATTTAGTAGTAAATTGTATTAGTTCTAAAATTTAATTTTTATCTTAGGTTTCTTTTATTAAAATTTTATTAAAGATTGCAGCCAAGACAACCAGATGACCCTAGTTTACTATGTGGACAAGGAAGGATGTATCAATCAGGCAAAGGGTGTTAGTGTAGGAATTAGAGTAAAGAGCAAAAAATGAAGTTTAACAAAAAACAAATTTTATATAAGAATATGAAATAAAGTTACAATTTTGTGAAAAGTTTTTGAATATTTGTCGAGGAAATAAATGTAAGCTTTTTTTTTTTTTTTATAAAAGTTTGGTACTTTAGAAGTTCCCTCCCTCCCAACATTAAAATTTTAAAACATAGCAAATAAAAATAAATTCATTGAACATTAGACAAAATTATTGTTACAAACAATAATTTGTGGTTAGAAGTCATACTGATTTCTTTTTTTCTATCAAAAAATGGCATACAAAAAAAATAAAAATGAATGTCCTATTTTTTAAAGCTTCCAAAAATAAAATAATCAGTATAGAAATTTCATTTGAAAAAAATTGGTTCATTAATTAACTGATTTCTAAAGAAAAATGTTTTTACTTTAAAATAGAAAGAAAATACACTTCTTCAAAAGTTGGACAATTTTAAATCCAAAGAAGCAATATAGGAGCAGGTGTAGATGTGTGTAATCATTGGGCTATAATGGATAACTACCAAAAATTATTTTTTGTAAAATATGTTATGATAGAAAAAATGTTAAGTTCTTTGCATGTTATGTGACAAATGTCTTACTTGTAATGAAGTTGTTCCATCATGAGTTAGTATTTGTAATAGTTGCAAGAATTTATTGTGAGGAAGCTATGCATTTTGAAGTGTGCTGTGGTTGTTTTGTGTTGTGTCATTCTAAAGACACAACTCAACAACTAATGGTTCTTTTGGCACTAGTTCTGATCTATTTTTAGCATCGATGGAAAAAAGTCTACTGTTTGTGTTTGAAATGTATTTAAATTAATACTGTATTTTTGACATTTTATTTTAACACTGCAATGACTAATTAAGTATATATTACATTTTTAAAATTTTAAGTTAACAGAAACAAACAACTAGATAAAAAATTATTTAGAAGTATTTATTATTAACTGATCTTAAATAACATTAGGTAGATGAAAATGTACTTTTTCTGCATGAATTTCAATAGCTGATATTTAAAACTAAAACAGAAATAATTAAAACTGTTACCCAATATTTGTCAACAAACCATTTACATGTATTTTTAATGTTCATGAAATCAAGGTTACATAAACACACGCACACACATGTATGTATGTATGTGTGCGTGTATATATATATATATATATATATATATATATATATATATATATATATATATAACGTGGGTAGAAAAAAAAAAAAAAGCAAACGTTGATAAAATGGCAAAAAAAGGCTGCAAAGCTGAAGCTCACTCATTCTTCCAGGGACACTAAGCAGGCTTGTTCCTGTCTCCAGAGTGGGAGAGGTGTAGTATATGTTGGTCCAGCCAATATACAATATCTTATTCGAAAATTGGAAAAATACAATAAAAGGTTAAGCAAACAAACCTTAACAAACCGTATTTAGTCAAACAGTTTTTGAAATTAATGCTTGCTACCTAAATATACCTTATTCAAATATAACAAATATAGGAATCAACACTGCATGGTGACTGTTGGTTTCATGCCTCAAGTAATCTTCAAATCATATGAAGTTTGCTTGATGCTTGAAACTAACAGCAGTTGATTACACACTGGGCATCAATCAAGTGACCTTTTATTCCATCTGTTAACATTTCTTCTTGCTATGTATCCTGCCCAGCTCCATTTTTTTATGAGTTAATCCTTTCTGTAATTCTTATTTTGGTTTCTTTTCTCATATATGTTGATTTATTTCTATATTTTATAGTTATCCCTAGCATTGATCTTTCCATTGTTCTTTGTGTATTGTTAGTTTTTTTCAAGCAATTTTGTAATTTCTATGTTTTGCAGGGATCTTAGCTAGTGTTATATATTCATTTACACTTTACATTTTAAGCATATTGGCAGGGCACTTCATTATATCTCAGTTTTGTTAAATGCTTTTCATTCTCTCTTTATATTGTAACAGGGCTGTTGCCCTGACTGAGTCATATCAGTGTATAAATGAATAAGAAGACATGCTGCATAATTCGTTACAGTAGATACACAGCATAAAGGAAGTTTTCTACTGGATGACACAGGTCTGGTGAAGTAGAAGAACAATGAAAATAGTCACACCCAATTCATGCATCCTTCACCAAACTATGACAACTGAAATCATGATTACCGACTAAAGTTTACATTTTAAGTATACAGTGACCAGAATTGTTGATTGTATCCCATTTAGGTCATGTTGGTTCCATGATAACAGAAAAAGTGACCATTACATTGGATGCAATGACCAAACTCTCCTTTGTTATGTCATTTTATTTCATTTCTATGGTCTTTCTTTAATGTTATCACCTGCTCTAAGTATTCTTAGACTTCTTTCAGTTTTTCATCATCTGTTTTCATGATCTTTGCAATTGAAGGTTACATTTGCTTTATTTCTGTTCATTTGTAAACTTACATTGAAATTTATCCTATTTAGATCATTTAGTTTTTCTTGTAATTCATCTGATGATTCTGATATTGGCAAAATGTCATCAGCAAATCATAAATTGTTTAAATACTTTTCAATTTATGTTTATTTCCATCGTTTCTTGCTTCATTTTCTAACCTGATTTAAATAGCTTACATGAAATCATATCCCCCTGTCTCAGTCCCTTTCCAATCTTTATCTGTATCTTTGGGTAGTTAAATTACTGCAAGGCTGCTATTTTGTGTGTGTGTGTGTGTGTGTGTGTGTAGTACTAGACTGGCTACTAGGGCTCCTCATTTTACTGTTGAAATAACTAAATGTATCTCAAAGTTCTATTCTAATAGTTTCTTTTTTCACACTTCTCACTTGTGGAACTCTCTTTTAGCTTCTTGCTTTCTTGTCACCTACAATCTTCAAAAATTAAATGCAACATCAATCACTATTTTCTGTCTTCCTGAATTCCATTTTTTATTGTCTTTTCTCCTCACTAGAGTTTTCTCTTCTTTCATTCTCAGTAACCCCTTGCATCTTGTGGAATTATCACCTTATATTTTTATTTAAATTTGCTTGAAATACATTTGTTTAATTTGGTTTAGTTTTATGTGGCGGGTGAAAGAATAAAATAGGAATGAATTACTAAGTACCCAATGAATTTATGTGTACAGATATGAAATATATTTTTATTTTTATTTATTATTTTTTGCACAGTAATGAATGTTTGAAAGGCAGGAAATGAATCTCTTTTTTTCTCTGACATGTATCTTTTACATATATACATCATGTGGATTTAGCATGTAATTGTTTTCTTAAAAAAAAGTAATTTTAATTTATAACTATGTTAGTTGAAAGTGTTAAAATTTTAATAATTATTATAGATGTTAAAAAAATGAAACTTTGTAACAGCAATTTGATAAAATTTTAAATAATATGTAAATTTTATCTTTTTATGTAAATTATAAGCAGACTAAATTCTACTTTAAGTTGATTTCTTCTTAGTTAGAATATTGTTTTATTAGTAATGTTTAATAAAAAATAAATTTTATTTTGTTTGAAGTTGATCAACTTATATATTTTAATGATGTGCCTGCTAAGAGTAACAAATTTGCTTGAATTTATATATATTTTCATAATGATGCATAATAATCAATACAGTTTAATTTTTTCTTCACATTTTTTTTCCATTTGTGGGGGAAAAAAAGAAATGAATTGACACCATGTCTGATAGTTATAATAATTTATTATGTGTTGGAAGCATAAGACAATGGAATGTTTCTACATGGATGGATTTTCTTGAATGCTCAATATTTCATAAGAAATGTCCTTATATTTCATGAAATATTCACTGTTGGAGATATAGAAAGAACAACAATCTTTCAAGTCTTTCTTTGCAATTTCTTTGACTGATCTATATGGAAACTCTATCTCTATTATTATTTGTTTTGTACATGCCTAGAATCCAATGAGAAATCAAAGATTCTACAAAGGGGATGATGGTTTAAAATGTTTCAGGGGCCCATGTGATAAAGTATTGTTTATTTTTAAAAAATTGGCCAAACTCTTCATTGCTGATCAAGTTTTTGAAAAACATTTTGCAAGTGGAGTGAGTTTGATATTCCCAAAGTTCTTCAGTAGTGTAGTTTGGTAAAAACAAAAAAAACAACATACCAACTCTGTATCTGTAGATCAAAAAATTACTTAAAATATGCATGTTTTTCTTTAATCTAAGCAAAACATTTAATCTTATTTATCTAGGATATATTTCTTTGGAAGCTAAATTTTTTTACAATTATAAAACTTCTTTAAAGTTCAATATTCAAATTTGAATAAGTGAAATAGTGGCTTTAGACCTGAATGTTATCAGTCTTTGATGATTATATATAAATGTAAAAGACAATAGGAAAACTGTAATATTAGCCAACACGTTTCTTCCAATGTGGACTTTTTCAAAACAAAAATGAAATTAATTTATTAAAATAAAGTAACTATTAATAACAAAACAAAATGTCTTTAGCAACTGGAACAATTTAAAAAATGCTGTTATATTTATATTGTCAACTGAAAATTATGTCAAGTACTGTCATGTGTGGAAATATTAGTTTTATTGTTATGTTGACAGATTCAACCATTTTCTTTTGATTTCCTGATACAGTTGTGTGCATTAAACCAAATAAAAGGTTCCTATATAGGAATAAAGTGTAACTGTTGACACTGGAGTTTGAACACAGGTAACCAGAGAGCTGACCCAGGCGATCCCATTTTGAATAAGTAGATCACATGATAGTAAAAGAAATGTATATATGGGAATTAGTGTGGCATCTAAGTGATCATTATCTGGATTACTATTCGGATCACTATTCAGTAGTTACTTTTTAAGTGAGTACTGTTAGTGCAAGTGTTATTTGAAGGTATCTGACACCAGTATTGTTCAACGGTGTTACTATAGTTGTATCTGTGATTACAAAGTCTCTACTACAACAAGCATTATGACAGTGACAACAAGTATTCTTTGACATTTCAAAAGTGGCTATGAGTGTTCATTGACATCACAAAAGTGGCAACGAGGATGAGATTCAAACTCACATGGGGATTCAATCAATTTACACAAAAAAATTAATCTGCAAAATATTCAGCGCAATGGAAGAACTAAGAGCTATTATGGTTCAAATGTTGCATCAACAAAAATACATCAAGAACAACAATTACAACTACAACAACAGAAGTTTTTCGAGTTGTCTACCAAAACGATGGAAGGAAAAACTTCAGATTCATTCATTCCAGATACTGTTGCTAATTCAATCAGCAAATTTGTATACAATCCTGATGAAAGGATAACATTTTCAGCTTATTATAGAAGATACGAAAGGATCTTCAAAAGGGATTGTTTGTAGTGGAATGATGAAAAGAAAGTTCAGTTATTATTAAGGAAATTGTCCCCTGCTCAACATGAAAAATATGTGAATTATATTTTGCCAAAAAAAAAATGAGAAAGGTTATATTAGAAACTCCTGGAAGATGACTAAATGTAAAAGACACCAGTAGAAGGTTGCAGAATGAACTAACCAAAATGTCATCATTGAAAGAAAAATGAAAATGCTGGTCAAAACAATTCTTTATTGATTTTCAAACAATACACCATTACTAATTCTTTGTTAGTATTTAATATAATGCATAACATTTGTTTTTTTAGTTTACAGGTTATGACAGCACACCAAATATGCAATACAGTGCCCAACCATCTGCAGGACCTGGAGTTATAGGCTTCAATGTAAGTTGTTTTTAAATCAATTTTCTTTTCAAAAAATGTTTTACTCTTTTCTTTATATTCAACTTCAGTTATCAGAATTTGTCAAACTGCAATTTTTTTGTTGTTATATTGTACTGAAGAAAATGGCAACCTATCTCAAAGGCCAAAGTGCTTTTGTGTAGCCTGTTTTTGTTGAGGGGAGGAATCAATATGTCTCTCCAGTGGATGTGGTCAATACTGACTTAAATCAGCTTCATTCATAGCCAATCACAGAGAAAACATCACAGAGTGAATGGACTGCTATGGAGAACATGCTAATCAATTTCATTGCTCTGAGAATGGAAAAACTTCCTGGTGGAATGGAGGTGTCTGGACTATTTTAAAAACTACTGGCTTTTCTGCAACAAGTTAGTCATAAGCTAACCAACCCAAAATGGCTGCAAGTGATTGACTTTTTGACAAATTTATTTTGCCCTTTTACAAGATATTTTGGCAAACTTAAAGATATGGCAGATAAGTCATTTGACATAAAACTGAATGCAGTGGTGCAAGAGAATAAGAGGAAGTGGTGTCCTGTGTGGGACTACTGTGAGCTGAACAAATACATTGACACTCACACAGCTGATGTCAGTGTGTGTGTGTGTGTGTAAGGGAGTGGTGTCAAAAATGGTCCAAAGTTGCCATACTTGACTTGCAGGAGAACTACTCATTACAGCCATTCCAGACAGTGTTTTTCAAGGGGTGGAGATATTTAACCTGAATGGGGTTTGGACTGTGGTGCTAGCAATAATGAAATCAATCGTGAATGCTGTCCTTTCAGATGATGATGCCATTTAACAGGCAACATCGCCATATATAGACATGATATATGTTGAAAGTATCACATTTGTAGCACATGTACAACAGCATCTAGCTGACTAGCTTGACATGTATGGAGCTAGAGCAGTTAAAAAAATGCAGTGCTCGAGTGCCTGGATTGTATGTCCGGAAGCAAATCTACTGGAAGCATGGAACCATGGTTCTAGCGGTGCCAGAACTGATAATCCACGGTATGATATTTTCACTGTGTGGGAAACGGGTGGGACACCTCTCTGTTTGTGACTGACTCAGGGTTGCAACAGATTTTATCAAATGCAGAACAACAGCAGTTATATTGTTATCATATTGACCCTAAACACAAGAAGTGATGTGTAGACAGACAAACATTGAAGGTGAAGGTTAATGCAAGCTCCCCCTTGCCACCGGAGTTTTACTGGAACTTGTGGATCTGATGTTGAAGACACATGCTCACTGCACCCAGTGAAGGATGCACAACACATCAGTTTGGCAGAGTTTTATGTCATACTAAAAGGATTCAAACTAGTGCTCCAGTGAAGCACAACCAAATGCTCACTGGAAAATCCAGAATACACACAAAAGCTGATGATGACTTGGTATGCTGCAGTTAGTTAGTGTATAAATATAGATTGTCTGTGGACACGATGTTAGTCAGATCATGTCAGAACTGATCAGAGAGACTGATGAGAATTCCATAAAAATGGTTAGATGCAGTAAGAAAAGAAGTCTAACCTACTTGTGCCACATCAAGAAATGCATCATTCCCTACCTAATAAAGACTGTACCCTGCCAAAGTGGGCATCCCAGCATCAAGTGTACATTTTACTTCATAAAGTGAATTCATTCCATGGTTTTGATGGCAGATTTCAAGGTGGTAGTCAGGGAATGCAAGGGGTACCAGCCAGTCAACTCCACCCAATTTGTTGGCTATGAGGCAAGCTGAATATGAATGATGTGTGGTCCTGATTTTTTACCTCTGACATAAGAAAAGAACAACTCTTAGAGTTCCAAGATAATCAAACACTTTTTGCTATTATCAATATATTATCTGATTTGAACAAATTTCTAGTTAATAAGCTCCAAATTATTATGTTTTTATTGCCACATCAGAAACTGTATACTTTAAATCAACTTAAGCTGGTTTCAAATGTATGTTTTTTTATCAACAAAAATTAACTTTTTTGTCCAATAAGCTCTTTTTTCATCCATTTTTATTCTATTCTTTTAAGTATTCTATCTTCAATTTCAGTCTATTTAAAACTTACATATTTCTGTCTATACCAATTGATTAACATTTTATTACAGCAAAAAATGATTGATCACTCTTTTAACTGGAAATTTTCTTATTTATATACTAATTTTATAAAATTTCTTAATTGCAAATGTGAAATAAACCTTTACTTCCAATTGGAGGTAAAGGTTTATTTGGCATGTGCAATTATGAAATTTGACACATTTAAATTGCAAATTTAACCTTATTTTCTTAATTCAAATATTCTTCATGCATACACACTAGATAATTAAGACACAAGTTGAACTGGATATTTGAGATACAAATGAATGAGATAACTTTGGTTCAATAAAATGGCTATCCTGGTTATGCAAACAGAATAGAAACCATTTGAATTTATGTATCTTCAGTTTTAATATAAAATATATATAAAATGAATGATTTTTCCATTTAATCAGTTTAAAATAAAACTATTAGACAAAATCTAAGGCAAATTCATTCAATTATCTGATGTAAAAGTTCATTTAAAAACTTTTGTTTATATTTTTATTTTAAAAATTAAATAACATGGAATTCTGTAATCTTTAATGTTAATTAATATTAAAAGAAATTATCTTCTTTTCTATAGTGTCTTAATTGACTGCATGTAAACACAGCTAGCACTACAGATAATAGACTGTTTAATAGACTAATAGAAAATAATAGACTTAACATCTTGCATAAAATAATTCTGTAATCTATGTCTATTTGTTGGTTAGTCATTCAGTCTTATTCAAATGTTTTTTCATCTTCTGTTGTTTTCTTTTATTTTTTTAACATGCTATAACTTTGTAAGGCATATACTAAAATTAGATAATGCATGATATGCTGACTAAGCATTGAGCAGGTCAAAAATTACAAACCAAAAAGTTACTTTGATTTGGGTATGCTGACTCAAGTAGATACCTTGATTACCCAAATAATCAATGAAACTTTTGGGAAATGTACTGGATTTGTTGTTTCTCAAGATTAACCTAATGAATTTAGACCTAATGCAGATATTTAACCAAAGGGTCATGTATATCAGTAAGATTCTATTTTTTTAGAAAATTATTTTTAAATGATATTTATTTATGTGTTTATAGTTTTTAAAGTGGTCATTTGTATAAATTTCAGATTGGAATGACAAACCAGGGTGGATACCCTAATACACAGGTAAAAAAAAAATACTTAACTTTAACTATGCATATAAATGCAATACAAGTTATTATCTTGGTATCAAAATTAATAATTATTTTAAAATGTTTTTTTTATTTCTCATTGACTAGATTATTCTGTCTGTAATTCCTTCTATCAGCAACAAGAATTCAGTTTTATAAAACACTGGACTAATAAAAAATTGATTACAGTTGCAAAGATATTAACCATAATCAGATAAAAAGGAATTTTTTTTATGATAACGATATAACTTGGGAACTGATGTCTTGGGAAAGTTGTGAATTTAACTCTACCTCAACTCTGTCCCATTGCCAATCTTTGATAGTAATTCTACTGTGACAATAAGGGAAAAATAGCCATTGTTAGTAGCTGTACTCTATCACATAGATAGTACACATGCTTTAGTTAATCACTAATTCCTTTCTTTAATAGCATTAATGAATATCCATGCTTATGCTACAAAGTCTGTTGTTGCTAGGAAACATTTTAAAAGGCATGTTTTTTATTTAAGCACTTTAAGAATGAGAAAGAGTTTCATAAAAAAATTGTAAAAAAAAAAAAATACAAAAAATGTTTTTTAGTTTGCAATGATTATTCAGAAAATTAAATTTGTTGATTTTTTAAAAAAATTTTTCTTCTACTGAAAATTGATATTTTTCAATGTTCATTTAATTATACTTTATTTTTTTTTTTTTTTGGGGGTTCTTATCCTCCAGCTTGGAGTGGTTACCCTCCTCCACAGCAGGGAGCCTACCCTCCTCCTGCACAGCAGGGAGCCTACCCTCCTCCTCCACAGCAGGGAGCCTACCCTCCTCCTGCACAGCAGGGATCCTACCCTCCTCCTGCACAGCAGGGAATGTACCCTCCTCCTCAACAGCAAGGAGCCTACCCTCCTACACAGCGGGGAATGTACCCTCCACCTCCACAACCAGGAGCCTACCCTCCTCCTCCACAACAAGGCAGCTATCCTCCAGTACCAGGATCTTCTTCTCCAAGACCACAACACACAGCTTATCCACCCCAGCAACAAACAGTTAATCCTTCACAACAAGAATTTTATCCTGCTTCCCATCAACAACAAAAAGGATATTTTCCCTCAGAGCAGCAAACATCTCATCCAATTCCTTCTTCAAGACAAAATAAACCATTAAAGGTAAAAATGCATCTTTTTAGGGATTTTTCTTTAATTCTTTAATTCTTTTAATATTTGTTTATAAAAACTGTAATTCTTTTTTGTATTCCCTCCCATTTAAAAAATACTGAAAAATATAACAATTCTGTACAAATTAATTGTTTCAATCTATTTAACATCAATAGATTTTTTTTAACAATAACAATCATGTATATATGTATGTTAACCTTGTAGCCTTCACTGCTGGTTTCACTAGTGAGTAGATAACAATCATAATGAAATATACACAACTAAGAGTTTTCCTATTTGATAATTTACATTGAACTACAATATTTTTCCTTATCATGCACTTCCTCTAGCTAAACTGCAGTTATCTTTGTTTGCATAAGAAAATAAAAAATACAGAAAATTAACAGCTTTGTAACAACTGACATATTTCCTACCCATCTCCTACATTTTTTCTTTCAAGATATGATGAGTATTTTCTTTTGATCATTAATATAAAAATGTCAGTCAAAAGGTAATGCTTTTCTAATAATTTTTAAAAGTTATAAACTATAAAGTATCTAGAAGCTCAAAGAAAAATCTAAAGTTTTCCTACTCATAATTTTCTTTTAAAATGGTTGTTCCTCTGGACACATGTAGAAAGCAAAGAGCTGTCATCAAATTTTCTTCTATAAAGGTGGAAGTGCTACAAATATTTACAGGAGCTTAGTGTATGTTTATGATAAGATTGGACTGAATGTAGTAAACTTGACTGGAATTTGAACTCAGCTTTCTGAATCTGATCTGCTATCCATTACTCCACCGTGCCTCCACTCTAATTAAAGAATAAGCATTACTTTTTGACCAACTCTTATAGACTATTACAATGATAAATGGTCTCACCCAAAGTATAATCTGGCATTTATTATAATTGAAGTAACTCATTTACATATGATTTCACAAAAACTATAAGTAGCTACAGCTATTACTCCTGAGGCAGTTGAGTGCATACTACTTCCTATAAGTCAGTAACACTGCACTACAATGGCGTCACCGAATATAAAGAATTGAATGAACAATTATCACTTGATAATTATGAGTGTACACAAGCATGGCTTAGGATACTAACAGCCAAAGCTAGAACAAAAAGTCAAATGATTTGAAATTAGTTGAAGGAGAAGACCAAATAATTGATCTTTTGTTGGCCACTGCTGGTTGTGAGGCCATTATAAAATTATAAGCAATTACACACCCAAAACAGTTGAAGGATATGACATTTGATGATATAAGTCAACTAATAGTGAAAAGCATAGCACCCAAGAAAAAACTAGTGAATGCAGAGAGAGCTAAGTTTATGAATATTTCACAAAAAATGAATGAACCAGTCATTGAATATGTTCTTCAACAGGCCACTAGATATTGTGAACTTGAGAAAATGGGATTGGAGAAGAAATCAATTTAAGAAGTTTTGATCCAAATGAAATTGGTAAATGGCCTTCAAAATGAGGCATATTGAAAAATGACTTTAATGCATTTATAATTGGGAAATTTGTCATTAGAACAGTGTGTTGAATTTGTTCAGCAATAGGAATTGATTGGAAAATTTAATAAAACAAAAGTTACAGATCTGGTAGAGGAAATGAATCCATATGTGATAAAAGATAATGTGGTTATCAGCATCAAAGAGAAAAACAAAAATGTCCAGCATATAAAAAAATGTGAAAAGTGTTTCAAAATAAATCCTTTTAAACGTATGTGTAAATCCAAAAAGAAAAACATAGAGACTGTCCAACAAAAAAAAAGAGGAAATAAGTATGGACGTCTTTTCATTAAAAAAGAAAAAATATTATTAAAAATTCAAATCAATGTTTTATTGGACATGTAACTAGATATGGGAAGTGATGTGAATTTGATACCCAGACATTTCTGGAAGAAATTGGGAAAACCAAGATTAAAGAAAAGTCTTGTCTAGTTGAATCAGTTTGACAAAATTAGTAAAAAAGTCAAGGCAGAAGAAATTGGAATGTTAAAAAACTATGAAGCAAAGTTAAGACTAAAGGAAAATATATCTCCCTCTCATATTTTGAAGCACGAAAAATGCCAGTTCATCAACTACCAATAGATTTGGAAAACTAAAAAAATTACTGGATGAAATGGGCCTCCCCGTTAGTAATTTTAAGAAAGAAGGATGGGGATCTACGTATTTGTGATGACTACAAAATAGGTGTAGACTCATATCTTATCCCCAATGAAGAATGGCCTTTGAACTCTATTGTGAGCATGAAAACATTAAAATCAATTTAAAGTTGGCATACCATCAAATACCTATTGACAAATATTTTAAAGAAGTCACAACAATAAACACACTAATAAGCTTATTAAGATGGAAAAGAATGCCATATGGAATTAAAAGTGCAAGTGCGATTTTTCAAAGGGTTATAGAACAAGTTATTGGTAGCGATATAAAAAATATAATATGCTACCAGGCTGACATTTGTGTTGGTGCTATTAATGATGAAGAATTAAAATGGAAAACCATTATGGTTTTGAATAAGTTAAAAAAATTCTGGATTGACAATTAACAAAAAGTGTGCGCAGAACACTAAAAAAATATCATTTTTGGGATATTCCATATCTAACGAAGGTATATCACCGGACCAATCATTAATTGACAAAATATTAAAAGTTGAAGTACCTAAAAACAAAAGTGAATTGGAATCTTTCTTAGGACTTGTAAATTTCTACAGACAATATATAGAGCAATATTCTGAAATCACAGAATCTTTTAAAAAAAAAAAGAATGCAAAATTTATTTGAACAAAAAAACAAGTGGCATTTGAAGGTTTTAAGCTGTTCTGGCAAAGAATGCTCATTTTTGGGAATATTAACTTAGGATGGTCATCTTATTATGTATCTTTTGAGAAAATTGTCAAATGCTGAAGTGAATTATTCAAATATTGAGGAAGATGCGTTGGTCATAATATGGATGATAAATAGAGCTCATCAGTTTTTGTTTGGAAAGAAATTCCTGCTAATGTCTAACCATAGACCTTTAGAATACATATTTAAACCTAGGAAGGAACTTCTTAAGGTAACATCTTCTAGAATTCTAAGATAGGCCTTAATGTTAATGGCGTTTGACTTTGATATTGAGTACGTAAAAGGCATGTAGACGCCTTGTCTAGATTAAGGGTTATTACTTCTGAAAGTGAGAAAGGAGGAAAAATTTGAAGATACTTTCTTACACTGGATCAAAATTAACATTTTGTCAAAGCCAGATCCCATATTGAACATTATATTGTTCAGGATAAAAAATAAGTGGAATAATTGCTCATGGGTAGAAAGGCATTTTAAAGAGATTAGATGCAAATTAACTGTAGAAAAGGGTGTAATTTGTAATGGAGACATAGTGGTTCTGCCAGCAACACAAAGGAGAAAAATTATAAGAAGCATACATGATGATGTCCAGTGGAATAATGTCAGTGCAAAAGAGATTAAGGCTAGAGGCATGGTGACCAGGCTATACTATAGATGTATACAAATACATAAAAGGTTGTAAAATGTGCAATAACACAAGAAAATTTAGACAAAAACATATACATGGCCTAAAGAGTCCCAACCTTGGGACAGAATACATATCGATCATGCCCATACTAATGGAGTGGGATTATTAATACTGGTAGATTTGTATTCAAGCCAGCCAGCCAGCCAGAAGTAATACAGGTCTCCAACAAAAGAAGTTTGACTGTGAAACAAGTGTTAAGAATCATATTTTCAAGAAATGGAATTCCAAAAAGCATTGTATTTGACAACACTTCAGAGTTCTGTATGAGGAACTATGCCAATGGTTGGACAAAATTGGATGCAAACCACATAAAACTCCTCCATGCCATCCACAATCAAATGTATTAGCAGAAATATACTATAAAAAAACGAATTGAAAATATGTGTACAACAGAAAGAAAAGATAGAAACATTTATTCCTAGATTTCTAAGTTATAGGACAATACTGGAAGATCAAAAAGTCTATCCACCCTCATGAGTAGACAAATTAGAGCCCCATTAACCATGTCCTACACTACCAATAAAAAATTGTGATACAAAAAGAACAGTGAATCTAATTTACAAGAGGCAAGATTCATAATGCAAAGTGAACAGAACACTATGATAATAGAATGGAAATGGAATATTAATGCATGCAGACCAAGTTAGATTGAAACATGATATTGATGAAGAAATATTTAATGAGCCTGAAAGTAATGAAGGTGAAAGCATCATGTCAAGGCAAGACAAACTAGACAGTGATGTAATATAGACTCTGAAAATGAACCAGGAGACAATCATTGGAGGAACACTCCTATAAAAAAAGAAGATCAAGATCTCCTATATATAGACAATCTCTTAGATAGAGGGAAGAAAATAGTGAGGAGACAAAAGCTCCCAGAAGTACCAGGGAAAATAAGGGGATAAAACCTCTTCAGTACAGGGAGATAAGGTGACTCATTTACATATGAAGTCACAAAGATTATAAGTAGCTACAGCTATTACTCATGAGGCAGTTGAGTGCATACTACTCCCCATGAGTCAGTAACACTACACTACACTACAATTATAATACCATGTATGTACCAAATGTAATAGAATAGTATGTTGTACATAGCTAGCATCTGATTGCAGCTTTCAGTTACATTCTTTAGCGTTCAGGTCCAAGGTAGGAAGTGATAGATTTAAAAGTACAATCATTTCTGTGCTATTATTACAGGAGGCATAAAAGGAGTCTTCCACTGGAGTATATTAGAAAGTTGTTTGTTGTAAAACTTTGCAGGGGGACATAACAAGCTGAGTCAAGTTACTGTTATTTTTAGCTCCTTGATGTATTCAATGAGACCAAGAAATTTAATTTAATATGTACAGAAACATATAAGCAATTAAAAGAATCTCACAGTTTCACACACATGAATTCCTTTACATAAGGAATCACAGCAAGTAATAAAATGCTTTGAGAATTATATTTTCATAGAAGGTTAAAAGAACAAAATTCAATCTGAGTAGAGTCTTCATGATGCTTCCCCAGTTATTAAAATTTCTCTCTTCATTTCACTGATCTTTGTCAGCTGTCATACATATATTAATTTCATGACTTTCTATCTTTCTGTCAGCTTAGCCTTTTAAAGAACCCAGTGTATATTATGATGCCACATTTCTTATTATCAGCAATTAGACTTGCAATTCCTTATGGCGACAATATTTCTGGAAGAGCTTACATACAAAAGTAAACAATGTATACCTGCAATTATTAGCAAATACAATCATAAATAATATACACATCTATACACTTATGTATAATTAAAAAAGGTATCAACAGGATAGCTGGAGGCATGGTGGAGTAATGGATAGTGTCTCAGATTGAGAAATCGGAGACACGAGTTCAAATTTCAGTCAAATCCATTACATTCACTTATATGCTAATATCCTTGGGAAAGGTATGAATCCTCTTCTTCTCTCACCAGCTATGGGTAAATAGCAGGACAGACCAGGTCCTATAGCCTTGGATGGCAACTGGTCTACTGCAGAAAGAAATGGCAACATACTGTGAGAAAAAAAAATCTGCCTCATCAGTCATGTATCAAAAGATATATGATTGCCTAAGTGTGTATCAAGCATGGCACATAACTGACTGATTGATCTATAGGAGGAAAAAATCATACAAAGGCATCAAAATAAACAGCCTTTGAAATTTCTACAGTACTCAATTTATTTTCTGCATGTCCAAACAGTCAAAAGCCACTAACCAACATTGATTCTATATGATCAAGATATGTAAACTACTTAAACGAGTTTAGCATTTCAATAATTGCAGTCTATTCTTGGTTGGTCATGTTTCAAGTTCATGTTGGAATGGGAAATTGTCTATCACTTACAACCCAATGGTCCATTATATTCTGTCCTCAATAACAGATCATCACAATACTGCAAAAAAAGTAATCATAATCTTAACTGTTTTTGTTTACCTTTGATTTCTGTTCCTCCCTTCAATTCAGTAATTGTTTTTGACTCATTTCATATCCTTCATGTCTTCCATCCACTTTCTCTTTCTAGCTATATACATACTACTATTCTGACTAATAAACAAAAGTAGTCTAAAATATCTCATACTATGCCATTAACCTCTCATTTAACTTTTACTATGCTTCTTTTCCTTAGTTTTTTCCCCTAATTTCATTAGTGGTAAATATATATATCAACTGCAGAATAATCCTTTAAAAGACAATATACTGTTAAATTAAGGTTTCTATTAGTCTTTCTTGTCAGATATTTGCTCATTTGTATTAAAATGACTCCTGACCATCCATCCATCATTCCTTCTTTCCATGTTCATAAAATACTGTATACACCTTTGACTGTGGTTGCTGTTATCTGGTCATCCAAATCCCTTGTTCTGACAGACTTTGAGAAAACTCTGACATTGGTTACCTTCCAAGTTATAAATAACTCTTCCCTTAATAGTTCTAATTCTATTACAAAGGTAACTATATATTTAAACTTTGATTTAAATGGTTTGCTTATCTTTTAAATGCTACTTTCTTCTTCTTTCTTTTTTACCTTGATCAGATTGATTCTCTATTTAAATAGAGAATCAATCTGATCAAGGTAAAAAAGAAATATCCTGACTGTAACAAAGCATGCATTTTCCTTTTATATTTTTTTACAAAGACAAATAATTGACTACATCTATATAATACTTACATCTCTCATAATTCTCAGTATTTTTCTTCTTTTTCTGTGGGTGTATATCCCTACTCACAATTTTAATTTCTTCATAGAATATTTTTATTAGGGTTTTATGCTGAAAAATAAAAACTGAAAATAAACCTTTTCTCAAGTATTAAACTCTTTCCATTTCTAGACTTTTCTGCAATCCTCAAATGTATCTCACTTTTATGATCCTTTCCATTTATTCATTCTTATTTTCAAGGACACAATGTATTTCTGTGTGAAATAAAAATTGTTTTGTCTGATTTAATAATAGTTAATCAAGAATTCCCTGATGTTTGCTGTCTTTACTAATGTGCTACAAGATATTTTTCATTTTTTGCATTCTGTGTAGCCTTGTATGAAACTAAGTTAAACTCTACTTATAATATTCATATTTTAAACATAAAATATTTTTGTACAGTACATTCGCATTATAAAACATTGGTCATAATGTAGTTTAGGTTTTTTAAGTTAAAACAAGTGAAAGCTAAAGTAGAATTATATAGATTTATTCTTCATATTCCTTCTAGCATAATAAAAACATTTGCTAATTCTTATCTGTTTTAAAACTCTGCTAATGTCCAATTTTGTCTTAGAATTTTGACTTTGAATTATATTGTGGAAACTTTTGACTTCATCTCATTTCTACTTATTTTTATTGCAAATCTCAAGTTGTTATGTAACCTTCAGGGAATTTTAAACTGATCCCTTTATTCAATTTATCCCTTATATTGTAAATTAAACAAAGGGTTTAGTTCGAAATTCCCTGAAGCTTACTTGAAAAGGCTGGAGAGAACAATGGTCAAGACATTATGATAATAACAACAAAGATGTGGACATCTGATTGTAAATAATGATAACTCTTCATTCCAGAAATTCAGGTAGAAATAAATATTTGTTAACACAGTCTCTTTTGTAGTTTTAGGAAAATTTGAATACATGTAATTTTATGACAAATCATAATGATCAGAAAAGTCAAGTAAGTTTCTAATCTGATTTTCATCACTTATCAGATACTAATGTTTCAGTTAAATATTTTGAATCATTATAAACACTCAGAGATTGGGAAGTATCATGTATATCCTGACCATCTTTATTATTACCTCCGATAAACTTGTATTTCCCTAGGAGCTCAAATTAGAAAAATATTTTATATTTTATATTTTTAAATCTAAGAAATCTCTAAAATCCTTGTAGAAAAAAAAAGAATTCATAGTTTTTTCTCAAATTGTCTGAAGAATTGGTTTTATTTTTAGGAAGAAGGAACACTTAAGCCATATCCTGGATTTAATGCAGAAACTGATGCACAAATATTAAGGAAAGCAATGAAAGGATTTGGTATAAATCAATTTTTTTCTAAAGTTTCAGTTCTTTTATTTCTTAATCCAGTAATTTCACTTTCACTGACAGTATTCTGAAGTATACCAAGTGAAAATAGTTTATTTTTATGCAAGAATTATTAGTTATTGGAAAAAATATCTTTTCACAATGGAGCAAGATTGGAACTCTCTAGCTTTTGAGTTAATTGTTGTTTAATAGTGGGAAATGATTCCTGATCTCTAAAAGGCATGTGACTTGTTCTTGATTAGATTTTAATAATCAGCTCCAAATAATAATACAAATTTAAAAGTTGTCATGATTTGTTCATTAAATAAAAGCAACTTATACTAAATAAACTAAGCATTTTGATAAATCTGGCTTATCTGTCAGTTGTTATTTAATATAATATTTAACCCACTAAGGCAGAGAAACACTGCAAAGTATAAATTAACTAAATTCATTCATTTTCATTGAAATAATAATCTCTTTTTGGTTTCACCTGGCAAATAATTATAGATTAAATTATATTAGGCATAATAATGTTTACATTTTTAACATGTGATTTGATGAGCATATTAAGCTAACTTCAAGTAATTTTATGACCAAAATACTTCTTGGTACATTTTTTTTCTGGTATACAGTAAAATGAGAACAAAATTGAACCTCAGTATAATTGTAACTTAAAATTCTTTTAAGTAATTTATTGAACATTAATGATGGCTTAAGGGCTATAGGTCAACATTTCCTTAAATATTTTCAGATAAATATATGTTATTAATTTTTATAACTTAAAACTGATTAAACCATTTTTTTACCATATTTCCTAGGCACTGATGAAAAAGCCATTATTGATGTATTGGGAAGTAGATCAAATGAACAGCGACAAGATATTGTGAGAATGTTCAAGACTATCTTTGGAAAGGTATGTTTGCAAAATTATTTTTTTTATAATATTTTTACATTGTTTTATTTTTGTTTGCATGTCACCATTTAGAAATTCAGATTCTCATTCATTTCTGTTAGAACTTTTAACATAAAAAAATGGAATGATTCAACGCAAAAACAAAATTTCAAATATGAATCACATAAGCAACAAATTCTGAATTCTTCTTTTTTTAATACATAACTATGCTAAATGAAAAGCCAAATATTACATATTTATGGAAATTCACTACTAGACTATGCAGTGTTATGGCAGATGACGTAAATAATAATGCTCACTTATTTAATGTAAAAAAATATAGAGGAAATCTACTACGTTTCATATTTCATTATAAAAATGTGTAGTTTTTTTTCTGTGTCCAATTTTTGAGAACACTTATTAACAGATAATTGTGGATTGTATTCATTTTTTAATAATTGCAGAATTGTTCCCATATTTAAACTATTTAAAAAATCTTAAATAATTTTTGTTTTACATAATTTTTTGTTTTAAATTTTATTTATTTAATTAATTTTAATATTGGTATTAATTTAATTTAAAATAATTATATATTTTAGCTGGAAAGCTACAATAAAAATTTATAATTTCAAAAGATAATTTTTTACAAAACAATCTTAGATATATTAGTTGCATTTATTACAGTCTCTGTGTATAAAACATTTTGTTTGATTTTAAGAATTAAATTTAGGTAAAGTGATTTAATTTGTTTTGCCTTCTAAACACAAATTTTTGATTAAATGTATAATTATGTAAAAAGATATTTTCTACAAGTTAATATATTCATCTTAAAGTAAAACTAACACAATTTTGTACATCATCTCTGATACCAAATTTTATATTTTGCATAGAAAACAAAATTGCAATCTTATTTGAATTGTAAATCTTATTTGAAAAGTATAATTTGAAAATATATTATTCAGTTAATCATATAAATGATATTATAATATTTATTTTTTGTAAATGAGTTATCTTCCATTTTCTGAAAAACAACAAATATAAAAAAAATGAATTGGCATGTATATTTACATTTATTCAATGCTAAAATGTAAAATGATTAGATTATTTTTTACTAAGATTTAATTATATATACATGTGTGTGAGTGTGTGTGTGTGTGTGTGTGTACAGTAGTGGAAAGTGAACTTGTAGCCAAGTCAAGGCAATCCTTAACACTTGATACAAGTACAATCACTTCCATGACTTTACTGTTGATTTCCTTGCTGCTGATGATATCTCTGGTGATTCATTAGACCAGAAAGTGACCTAAATTTTAAGTCACAGTTCTGCTGCATAGTTATCTTGGTGCTGTGACTTATAATGTCAGGTGTTCATTTAATGACCTGAACAATTTTTTTGCATAGATTGCATGGAAAATCAGGCTGATAGTGATAAATTGTGTTTTCATTATGGTAATGTGTGTAAATAATATATATATATACTCTATATTGAGGTTGGCAATGAATGTAACAAATTTTTAGTCTGTGTGATAATTATTGGAGAGTGATTTTTCACAAGTGGTCACTTATCCACTTTCTTCTCTATCAACCATCTTAGTAGAGACAAGACAGTTTTTGTCAATATATTTGACAATGGAACATGATGCTGGTATATAAAATTATACTTTTTTTTTCCCATGAGTAGCTGAGGTTAAATGACCATGAACAGTTTCTGTTCATTAATTTCATTTTTCATATCAATAGCCATGATACATACCTCCTAATTAAATATACACTGTATTTTGTATTTAAGGACCTGATAAAAGAACTGAAGAGTGAATTATCTGGCAATTTCGAAACCGTTGTCCTTGGCCTGTTATACACACCATCCATGTATGATGCTACAGAGTTAAAAAAAGCTATGCAGGTGATATTTTATGCTTCAAAGATTTTCCTGTTTTTCATTAATACATTTTGAAGAGATTTTAATTTTTATTTACGTTAAGTTTTTTAATCAGTACCAGATTTATATATGGCCTAGTACTGGGTGCTGTTCAGGTGTGCTGACATTAGAGGTGCCCTCTATAGTCTTGGGCCCTTGATATAACTAAAACAAAATTAAAGATATAAGAACAGAGGAGATTTGTTTATTTTCAGATTTAATGACTGTAGTTTGAACACAGATCACCAGAGAGCAAACACAGGCGATCCCATTTTGAATAAGCAGATCATATGACCATAAAGGAAAAGTATATATGGGAATTAGTGTGGCATCTAATTGATTACCATTTCTATTCTATCTTCTATTACTATACAGATTACTATTCAGATCATCTTTCTACACTATCTTCTACCTCTGTTCATGATACTATTTCCCTGTACTGATCACTATTCTGTGGTTATTTTTTGAGTGAGTATTATCAAGCAGGTACTATTTGTGTGAGTGATATTCAAAGTTGTCTGACACCAGTACTGTTCAATGGCATTATTATAGTTGTAACTGTGATTACAAAGTCTCTACTACAATGAGCATTATAAAAATGTATGATGAACGGAGCCCCTATATTCTATTAGCTCAGGGGCCTCTTAAGGCCTAAATCTGGTCCTGATTCTGATATGAACATGTTTCTGTTTTGAACTCCTGTAAATTTTTATTTCAATTATTGTTTAGAGTGTTTTCATTTATTCAGGTTACATTTGAAAACTAGAAATGATAATAAGGATAAATTATAGTCTTGTCTTACATGAATTTAGAAGATTAATTATTTTTTTGTTATTTCATTCCAACTTAGAATTGCATGTAAGAACATTTATTAGAATTGTAATTTATTCGAGAGAATTACATGTAAGAACATAAATTCAGCATGGGAAATTTTGCTAAAATTAGATTTTTATTTTATAAAAAGTGTCCTTTCATCTTTCAGTTATTTTAAAAGTGTAATTTGTTTTCTTGAAGGGACTCGGAACAAATGAGGATGTGCTGATTGAAATTATGTGTTCACGGTCAAATAAAGAAATTATGGAAATAAGTGACTGTTTTAAGAAAAGTAAGTTATTGATAAACTTGTATCCATTTACAGGGAAATTGAACAGAATTATTTCAAAACCATGTTTATTCATATTTTGATGTTTCACAAATTTTCATTATTATTATTATTGTGATGGTGGTGGCAATGGTGGCAACAATGGTAGTTTTTAATTTTAGAAAACATACTTTAATATTGAAAAAGACACAAAGTAGACTGCTTTTGTTTTCCAGACTAAGAGAAAGAATTCTTAAGAACATGGTTTGCTTGTTGTAAACATTAATATTAGTAAAATGACTCAAAATCAACAGATATCATTTAACTTGAAAATATAATACTTTATGAGATATTAGAGCAGATTATAATAGAATTCATAAACATGATGTAAAAGGTTATGTGGGTCTGCTGCAAATTTCCTCTCTTGACCAAGAAAGGATTCACCTCCAAATTTTGATGTTTGGTCAGATTTTGAGAAGTGTGTCAAATCAAGAACTTGTAAATAATGATATAGCAGTGATAAGATAAAAATATTGCAGAAAATTTTCTTTCAATTTTATAGAATGAACTGAAATAGTTCTTATTATTTTTTTTATTGTACCATGCTGAAAATAACTTTCAAAATTTTATCAAAAATTTGGCATTTTTAAGCTTTGGTGATGTAACTCACTTGAGTAAGTAAAATATTATACTGTTTTAAAAGTATTAGATTAAAATGTAGAAAGATGTCATCAAGGATTAAAACAAAAATCATGCTATAGAAATTTTCAAAATAAATTATTGATTATTTTAGGCAATCTTTTCAATGCATTTTCAAATATTGTAGCAAAATTCAGTCTCTTCTTGAAGATTTTAAGAATTGTTCATAATCTATTGTGTATTTTTTAGTTTAATTAGATGTTGTCATTTTGTTTCTCTATGAACAGCCATAATAAGCTAATGATCCAAAAATGAAATGGGAGATTTGTTTAGTAGGAATAATTTTTTAAAAATCTGTTAATACATTTTTTATAAATAACATTTTCCTTATATAACATGATTCCTGAGACTGAAATACTTTCCTATTTATTCTTTCCAACAATTTAATAAGTTACACACTTCAGTATAAAAATAAGAAACATTTTACATCTTTTTGCTTTTATAGTTACAGGGAAAAGTTTAGAGAATTGGTTGAAAAGTGAAACCTCAGGACATTTTTGCCGACTGCTTGTGTCTCTATCAACAGTAAGTGTTTTTGATATATAATGATTATTTTTAATTGTAGTTAAAATCTGTATTTTGAAAACTTCCCACAATTAAAATATTTTAAAAGGCTTATTTGCTTAGACTGATCTAGAACTAGTCCAGCTCATTTTACATGATAAACATGCATAAATGTAAAGGTAAATTTACAAAGAATTGAGGAATACAATATAAGCTTGGGTAAAAAAAATGGAATAACATTTAATTATCAAGTTTTTAATGAAAGATTGATATATTATATGGTAGACAAAATATCCCAACATAGAAGAAAAGTTAGTATGAGATTAATGTTAAATGATTGTATTGTGGATTTGTTCATGTAAAGTAACAGCAAAATACAAGAATGATAATGCCAAAAATGCAAGTACAAACAGGATGAAAATATAAGCAAAAATGTAGTGAGAAAAGAGAACAATATCATATTGACTAAGAGAAAAATCTATAAATGGTCTATGCAAAAACTTGAATTCCCAAATTTTCCTATAATTATCTGACTAGGCAATAAATGATTCCATAGACAGGCTGTGGTGATAGAGAAATAAATAAAAATAATAACAAGAAGACTGTAATAAAAAATATAATATATATAACAATAGATGGATAATAAAAACTGCCAGACAAAAAAAGCCACAATTCAACCAATCAATCAGAAAGCTTTCACAACCAGGATGTAGGTCGTGAGCCACCGAGAAGCAGGGTACCCTTTTCAAAGCAGATCTATAGATTTGTTTATAGCCAGATGGAAAATCAACAAAAATCAGAATTGATAAACAAATTTTGTCCATTCTTCGGTGATGCAGTCATTGTAACATACCCAGAGATGAAATACAACATTTGTGTGACTAGCTGGCAACCTTAGACAGCTAACATGTCCCTGCTAGAATGAAAACAAACATACTTTTCTTCACTACATTGTTAAGCAGTATCTACTACATTTGGATACATACATTACTTTTAACAGTGGAAATAATACAATGTTATACAAGTAGAAAAATGAGTAAGTTTCTTGCTCTATATATAATTTTATATATTTATAAGTTTTTGTCATTTAAAATAATTTTGGCATTCAGGAACTAATGCCATAGGATGAACTAATTGAGAAATGAATTATCTGGTTAGTGTAGCTTGAAGAAAAAATATTATTGTGATTACTACAGATTTGAAGACAGCTAACAAATATATTTTCATTTAGCATCAGTGAAATATTGTCCATATTTTTGTTGTGTTAGGCTGGCCGGTCAGAAAATCAAAATGTTGATCTACAAAGTGCAGAACAGGATGCTAAGGTATGTAAATAGAATACATTTTTTTTTCAATAATCATTTGATGATTCATGAATGGGCAGAATATTCTTTCATCTATCTTTTTCCATTCAACAACTGAAAGCAAGTAAATTATCTAATTTCAAGAACATTTTTTTTTCTTTCAATAAACTTCAATGATTTTCCAGAAAGCAATATTGCCAATTTCTAAACTTACACCAAATATTTTATTCTTACTTTTAAAAAAATTGAAAAGATTATTTTTCTACTAAAGGTAAACAAGAAAATTTAATCTTTTATAAAATTCATTCAAATTTTATAGCTTTGTGAATTACTTTTGTATATCTCTTTGTAAAACAAAAAAGTATGCTTCTTGCAATTTGTATATTTTGATATTTTTTTAGAAATTGTATGAAGCAGGAGAAAAGCAATGGGGGACAAATGAATCACAGTTCAATGCTATTTTGGCCTCTCGAAGTTTACCACAGTTGAAAGCAGTGTTTGATGCATATAAGCATCTTTATAACCGTGACATAGAACAGGTTATTGCTAGTGAAATGTCTGGTGATTTACTTAGTGGAATGTTGTCAGTTGGTAAGTACCATTTTAATCCTTTCTCTAATTTTCTGATTTTCACTGGTAATAACTAGTTGTGATCAATACGTAATGTTTCAAAGTGCTAAATATTTTATAGATACTTGATTATCGAAAACATTTTTGGATATAGAAAATTGAAACATATTTGAATTCCACTGTAGCTGACTGGTATCTTTTTTATTCAGATCTTGTATAAAAGTTTTAAGTCTTCCTGAAGAAAAAGTCATGAAAATTTCAATTATATTTTGCCTATGCTTGTGAATATATGATAGCTTTTTGTTGCTGTTTAGCATGAGAACTTAATTACCATGTTTACATTCTTTATCATTACTTTTATTTCAGTAAAAGTTGTTAAAAGCAAACCTTGTTATTTTGCTGAACGGTTGTATACATCAATGAAGGTAATATTTAATTGCTCTTAAAACTTGCTAATTTTAGATTTCTTTATAATTTTTATCACATTAACTTAAGCCATTCTATTATCTATTTTGTACATTTATTACCTCAACATAGTATAATGATAAGTAAGATGGCCTCAAAGATTGTTACTATTGAGTAGAGTTCAAATCTCACAGGGTGACTCGTACTCATGCCAAACTAAACTAAACTAAGTTTAGTAAATAACTATATGCAAAATTGTTTTAAGGAACCAAAATTATTTCCTATGAACCAAGGCAACTAATTTTCACTGGGAAACAGGAAAATAAGTTCAAAAAAATTTTGGTATTCATACAAAATTTAAATCTTATAATAAGTAAATGGAATATTATTGTAAAATTTAACTTTAAACATTTATTTGGATTTGTCTTTGTTTTTCATTATTCTAGTTATTTTAATTTATTAGCACTTTCACTGTTTTTGACATACTTATGTCTTTATAAATCTTATGTTATCTACTGTTGACATAGATATGTTTTCAAGTCAGCATGAAATATCAGTCTCTAGCCTTTTTATAAACTAATTCATAGCATTATTTCCAAACCAGCGTAGACAGATACTACTGTTTTTGTGATATATTTTTATTAAATTGTTTGTTGGTGGTTTTGTTTAGCTTAGTCTGTACTATAGATTATCTAATTGAAATGTTAATGCTCATGAGAAATTGTCATTGTCATTTCCAAAATGGATTAGCAGAACCATGCAGCCATGTTTATAACAATGCAGCATTCAATTCATTAAATCTCTCTGACACTATAATAATTACATTTGATAAACTATTTATAACCAGTATTAGTCATTTACACTATTTACATTGTTCAGACTGTTGTCCTCATCTTTATTGCTACATTCACAATGTTTCAGCCTTCTTCATATGATTCAGGTGTTGGAATTTCAAACTGAACCCTTTAGGGGATAGAATGTTCAAATTCCATATACTACACCTTTTGGATATGTCAGTTTTAGTTAATTCCCCTTGATTCCTCTCTCATGAGGCCAGGGATTGAACCCACAACTCTTTGGGTCAAATCATTTTTGGATCAGTCATCTAATGCTTTTATCCACTGGGCCATGTGAGTGAGTAAATTTTTGTGTCTTATAAACCTAATGTCTTGTATTACAATTTTTTGTTATTGTTGTTTTTCTCTAGCTCTATAACTGGTTCCCATATTGTATTCATGTTTATGCTTGGCCAGCTTAGGAGATTTTTGTAACCTAGCATATGCACTGTTTACATAAATTTTTATATTTTTCAGTGATATTCTCTGTTTATTATTTCAACTTCATCCCACAGAGGGGTGGTGATCTCCCTTTTCTCTCCATATATGGTCACCCATGATCTTTCTATTTCCCACATGTTATGGCCTTATGGTTTTCTTGCAGTTTTATTTTAAAGGGGCAGCATGTTTCACCTTTTATATTTCTTGCCACAGCTGAATGGGATTGTGTACACACAATCCTTAATCCTATTCTCCTATCTGGGTGGTCTTACTGAGAAGAGATATCTGCATAGTGTTGAACCACTCCTGAAGGTTGTACTGATGTTATATAGACCACAGATCTTTGTATCTTTTCTGATAAGTCCTTCATATACGGTAGGCAGATCAAGGCTGTTTTCTGTGTTATCATCTTGCATCGTTCTATCCCAGTTTGTGTGGGGGTGCTATCATGTACCTAGGGTAGTTGTTATGTTGTAGGGTACTATTTATACTGACCATTTCTGGTTCATATTTTTTGGTTGCCACTTTTGCTTGATGTTGGGTGGTGGGATTTGAAGTTGATGTATTATTTGGTGAATGTTGACTTGCAGTATACCCATGTCTTGAACCCGTGCTCTTTTTGAGATATTAGTACATCCAGGAATACTAGTTTGCTGTTGTTTTCTTTCTCCATTGTAAACTGTATTGATCTTATTGAGTTTACATGATCCAGTAGTAGCTGGACATTTTCCTGGTAGGGCCAGATTATAAAGATGTCATCTACATATCTTGGCCATAGAGTTGGCTTTATTTATGTTGATTCTAATGCCATTTCCTCAAAGTATTCCATGTATATGTTAGTCATTGCTGGTGATAAAGGTGAGCATATTGCCAAGCCTTTATCTTGTTGATATATGTCTGATTCCATTCCAAAGTATGTTGTTTGTACAGAAAATCAGCATTTCCATCATGTTATCTATTGGTATACTAGTACATTCTCCTAGAGATGAGTTTGAAGCCAGTCTGTTTCTGTATACTGATAACTGCCTCCTCTGACTTGTGACTTCTCCCAACTCATCACGCTTGCACCCTCGCAACCTTGTATCATTATAGTCAGATTTATAGCTTTGCTAACCACTCAGCAACCAACCACCCTCACCTCAGCATACCTGACTCATTTACTTGGCATTCCCATTCGCAATTGTCATCACAGCCCCATTCCACAGAACAGGCCTACCAACCATGCCAATCCGACAACACCTCAGCAACCCATCGTGTACAAGGCATTCCCTTGCAGTTATCACTGTGGCCCATTCCCTAGAACAGGCCTACCAATCAACAAAATTGGCCCACCTCTGTGACCCTGATCAACCAACATATGCACTGACCATATCCTGTGACCTTGACCAGGTCAGTGCAAGAAATAAGTCAACTCCTGGCTTTTCTCTTAACCCTAATCACTATCCTGACAACTGGCCACTGAAACAGACATTTCCTCTAGCTTCAGCATATCTGTACAACATTATATACTAACAATAGACATTGCTCAAAAATCTAATCCTTGTTATTCCTTTCTCTAGCAATCAAATGCTTATTATAGCATAAATAACAAATATCACCTGAAGAAGGTCAGAGTATACAACAGCTGAAACATTGTGACTGTGTCAATAAAGATGAGGATAACAGTTCAAACAATGTAAATAGTTACAATACATCATCTCAGAAATATAGACACAAGTGTTAGTCATATTAATTTGCTTCTTATGATATCAGTAAAAGTCGCAGTGGTTTAGAGTCAGCACTCCAGTAAGCTAACAACTTCAAATTAAATTATTGCAATGGTACATTATCTTTTACTTATTTTTACTAATTTTAATCAATTGTTTGTGATGACAAGAATTTTTAAGTTTGTGTTTAAGAAAATTGGTAGATTTAATAAGCTTCAAACTTTTATCAAAATATTTTAGTGTTAATTTGTAATAATATTTTTATCATATTTTAAATATTTAACTGTCATAGTTCATTAGTGCTTAATTGAAAACCATTTAATGCTATGAACAAAAACAAAAAAAATGACATTTCCTTTTAAGAATGCATAGCAGTCTTGTAAGCCATTGACAAATAAAAATATAAAGAAATATATTGAATATAATTATTCATAAACCTGTTTGATTTTCTTTAATGGTAATTGACACAAACAATTATGAATAAAAAGTAAAATAATGAAGCTGTCATGACCAATGATTTCACTTCTATTGTATTTCTATGTAGGGAGCTGGAACCAATGATTCAACTCTTATTAGAGTTATCATTTCTCGATGTGAAATTGACATGAAACAGATTAAACAAGAGTTTCAAAAAATGTATGGAAAAACATTGGATGCTATGGTAAAGGTATGTGTCTTTTTTTTCTTTTTTTTAATAATTAAATGTATTTGAATTTCAATTTGCAATAGGCTTTGGATTATATCACTATTGATTCTACTCTAAATTCTTTTAGCATTAAAGAAAGCTAACTAGGCTCCAAAATTTGTATCTTTATCAACTTCTAATGTTGGAAATAAAATAAAAAATGTTACTATAGTGGTCAAATTATTCTGCACTTCTGTTAACTGTATTTTTATTTTTATAGAAATACATAATTTAAATAACTGTTGAATTTTTATACATTCACAGCAGAATTGTGCATTTGTTTATCTGAGTGTTTACAAAACAATTTGTAATGTAGCTTATTTTTTCACATAAAACCAAAAATTTCCATTTATACAGAAAAAAGAAAAGCAGCAAAAGTAACAATGTCAAAACTTGTTTTTTATTTTTATGAAATAATACAAAATGCAGTGGAATACAAAATATTTTCTCAATTAACAATCTCATAACACTAGGAACAGAGTTGTTAGTAAATTTGAAAAATGACTACCAAATATTTTGAAAAACAACTAAATTGTTAACAAGAAATGTTCCTTTCAAGTTAAAGTTGGAATAAGTTTAGCAAAAGGTAACATTTATGGAACACTCTAGATAAAATTCAACATTGAAATTGGTATTGTTAATAGAGAACAAATGATGTTTTAGTGTGTAAAACTTTTTTTGAGCATTCTATAAAGGAAATTTACTCTTAAAAAAAATTCACAATTTTAATTCTATACTTTCATAAATTTCAACAGGTATTTAATGTTAACTTTAATTAACAATCTTAAATCTTTGCTTTCAATCTAGAAAATATAGAAAAGTGGATTTTGATAATTTTATAAAACATAATAGGATTCCTTTTATAAATTTCCTGACAACAGGACTAAAACTGATTTCTAATCTTTTCAGTCATTCAAACAAGTATCCTTCAGCTTTTTACTTGGTATTGTTAATTTTTTAAAATATAATTTCTCTAAATACTAACTTATACTTATTTTTTATTTTTTTTTTTATTTTAGGGTGACTGCAGTGGAGATTATTGTCGGATTTTGCTAAGACTCCTTGGAAATGAGTCATATTGAATTGAAAATGATTTCAAATACAAAATTTCTGCTGCATCAAAATTTTAAACATGACATATTTAAAAATATATTTTGCCTATATTTTCCTTATAAAATGTGTGCAGATTTTGTTTAAAATGCTTATATTCATAGAAAAATGTTGATGGCAATGACTTTTTTGAAAATTTAAATCTTTGATGCAAAGTGTGCTGTGTTTATTCTTATTGTTAGACATTTGATTTAATAAATCTTTATTGTCTGGAAAGTTTCTGATGTTAACCCAGTAAATGCTGCAATAATTTCTATCATTTACAGTTTAGACATAGAACTGGAATAATAGAAATTCACAATTATTGAATTAAGTTAAATCTTTTTAGAATTGTTTTGCAATGTTTCTGTTCTACAATGTTCATTCAGTGGTGCAAATATGAGAAATAAAAACAGTTCTGAAGATACTTTCACTATTATCCAATTTTGTTTTTACATTTTGATGTACTTTAATCAAATAATGTCTAACTCAGAACAAGTTAATTTTAATTGTTATTAGTTTGAAAGAAGAATTAATAAATTCTTTCAAAAGAAACCTTATAATTGAGATTTATATTGAGGTCACAAGCTCAAAGCATGAGCTTTATCAACTTGATACCTAAATTGCTGCCAACCATTAGTAAATGACTTTCTATCTATAAGGCAAATTGAGTCACAATTTGTTTGTCATTTCAATTTAATAACAAATATAAAACAGATTTTGTTTAGTTGTAAAATTTATAAATTTTAAAAATATATTTTATATTCTTTAAATTTATTCTGGAGGCACTAAGTTATTAATTAAAAAACAATTCAGATTGACATTTTTTCAAAATATCATTTGTTGTACATATTAATAAAAAATATTATAGGTACTAATTGATTGAATATTCATTATACTAAAAAATATATTTTGTGATATTTTTGAAATTACAAAAAAATAAAATAAAATTGTGAATGAATTTCCAATATTATAAATTGTTTTTTTTTTTTCATAATGATCACTAGGAATTCCTGTTTTGTATTTTTATTTTTATTAAATCTCTAATTTTTTCTTAAATTCTTCTATTAATGGTTTCCATTGTTCATTAACCCAGGAGTCCAGACGTTTCTTTTTTGTTGATAAAACTATATTCTTGTTATGGCAGGCAGTAAACAATACATGTTCCCATGTAGGTTTTTTGATCATTCCTGAAAAAAAAAAATTATAATGTAAATATATTATTTTTTTTCTTTCTGCATGAAAATAATGGGAAACAAATCTTTAAAAAAAATAGATAAAAAATTCTGTTTAATCAAGTTTTGAAAACACTCAAATTTGAAAAAAATAATTACCAGATATTTTATTGGTCCTAAATAAAGTAATTTCAAAATATTGCTTAATTTTGTCAGTATTTTGATATTACATGTTGCCTTTGGAATGGTGTAATTTTATTTGTACACAAATAACATTAAATAAAATTAATAATGGAGGACTATGAATAAAAAAAAAAAGAAACAAAATTATTTCAAAAGTGAGAAATCAATTTTGTATTATGTATAATTAATTAATTTTACTAGTCATAAAGAAAAGAGAGGAAAATATGAAGCACTTAAAATAGCAAAATAAATTTTGGGGTTCAATATTCAAATAGTTTAAGACAAGGAAAAGTAAAAAAAAAACAAATACTGAAAACTATTATCATCTCCTCCCACAATGAAGTTTTGCCTGGGATAATGATACAGGACTACAATAATAAACATAACTACAATAAGGATTTTAAATTGATTTTTTATTAATTAAGAGTTTATAAAATTGTAACATTGACTGGAAAATGGTAGGAAATATAATATTGATTAGAATAATAGTAAATATTCAGCTATATAAGAAATGACTTTAGTCAATTTTTAATGTTGAATTGATAGAACAGATGAGCCATAACAGAAATATTAACTACTGAATGACTTTTAATAAAAAGCAAAATAAAGTTATAATTTACAGGTTTCTTATTTTTAATACAAGCATAAATTATGGGATTATTGCTGTATGAAGTGGTTCATTTACCTAGGATCAGTGTAGTATCTGAGCAATCTACCTAACTTAGTATTTGAATGTTAATTTTATCATTCTGTTTGAGCAGCAGAACATTGGCATAGTGAATATGTCACTTGCCTGGGTGATTGAATCAAGGCAGGATTCTTTGCATATCAAAAGTTATAGATAGCAGAACAAAGAAATATACCCCCAAAAATCACACTATTTATTAATATATACTTCTGTAGTGGATCTAGGAAGGCTGCATGAATATTTAAAATTGTGCTGCAAATAAAATATGCAATAACCACAAAAATAAATTATAAGAAATGGCCAAATGGTAATGATATTCAATCACAACAAAAAAATACATGTTTGAAACAACAAATTAAATTTTACACAATTTACAATTTCTTTATTTGTAATGATGTGTGCAAAAGTATATTTTAGAGAAAAAGTTCTTTGCTGTTTTGGAAATGTTCAATGTCGAAAAAGTTGTCTGCCTTTGATTCAAAAGGTTGAATTTAACTTAGACAAAAGATTTTTTTATGAAAGATATTGAGTGAAAAAGTTTGTTGTTTAAAATTTTCTAATCTCTCTTAAAGGAAATTTGTTTCTTTGGCGGCTCTCAGATGCATAATTCCCATGTGTATCTTTTGTGTGTGTGAATCTCAAATGCAACGAAAATTTGTTCGCCGTTTCTATTTCTATTTTTTTTTTTTTTTTTTTTTTTTTTAAGGAACAAATTGGTTCGACAGGGCTTTGTAGCTGTTGTGAATTTTTCTGAGAAATGCGTGGGCAAATGTTGTATTTTTATTTTTTAGCCAATAGGATTTCTTGAAACATTTAAATTAGGGATGAATTTTTTTATGTTGGTTGAGCCTACTTTTGCACAAAATTTGATTGTTTTCTTATGGAAATTTCTCGAAGCTTATTTTATATTTAACAACCAATGAAATTCAAGAAAATGTTTGAAATTGAAATGAGGGTTACTAAACTTTTATCAGAGCTTTCAAACTGACACAGTGTTTGTTTATTAAATTATAAAGAGAGTATTTAAATTGAGAGTACTTATTAAATAATGCTTTGAAAAATAACTGAGTGAGACACCCTTTTTGTTAATACTGATTTTAGAATTATGCATGACTTGAAAAAAATTAAGTGGATAAAGTGAGTTCTGACATGAATGAGTTAATGAATATCTGACAATCTAAGACAATAATATTTTTAACTAAATGATACTATTTTTCTTTTATGAAATATTTCGGTTTTAAAATGTTTTTATATGCATCATAAACTTTTTTTGTATTTTGTATTTTTTCACTATGTAGTTGAATTAGAAAATACTTTTATTTTTTTTAAAGTAATGAAATCAAGGGAAAGATTGAAAAATGACTATATGACTACAATAATGAATATTGTTTCTAAAAATAGTAAATTAAACACATTATCAACTTGAATTAACCATGAACATTTTACTTAAATGAATTCCAAAAACCAACCTTTAATATTAGGTCTGTCATCAATAAGCAGATGTCCATTAATCAAAGTTTTATCTGGAGTTAAAATAATTTTGCCAGCCCAGTCATTACCCATATGTTTTTCTATCCATTCATACTGAAAGAGAAACAAACAATTTATAACATTAAATTTTGTTCTGTGATATCAAAATATGATTTAAGCAATTCCAAATATAGCTATTTCATGTGTATGCCAATATCATGTATACACTTTTATAACATGTTTATAATTATATAATTTAGAAGTAACACAGTGACAAATATTTCTTTTTCAATACATGTTTTTGGTAATAAATCTTTTCAACGTCTATTTGTTTTTAGAGACTGATGATTTAGTGTATGTATAAGTTCCTTTTTCTCACTGCTCTTTAATAATGAGTCCAATAGACCAAACAACTGTTAAAATGATAATCACTCTTTTTAAAATTACAAATTCAAAGGTAATTTTCTGATCACTTTAATTTTAATGAGAATTTAATATAGATAAAAAGAATTGCTGAAAATCTTACCTTGTTTTACCATGTGAAGATAATTTGTTTTTTCTAAATTAAAATCCATTGTTTGCTCCAAAATGTTTAATTATCCAATGCTTGTGAACATATGCACTTCATAAATAATTAATCATTTCAACAAATTTATTGCAACTGTTATACAAATATATAATTGTTGCAATAGTTGGTAGACAAATTTATTTAGATAAATATTTTAATAATTATGAAATATAAGAATTTTTATAAGTAACTTTGAATGAAGGAATATAAAGTTAAATACATTTAGGTAATTAAATTGGATTTTTACTTGTCTTAAAGTACTTATTTATTCATATAATTTTGGAAAATTATCTGTAAATGTTTAGATTTGATTTCATAAAATGACACTAAATCTTATGTAAAGAAAAATGTGAAATTCCAGAAATAAATTTATAAAAGTAATACAAAAATTATTCCAAGTATTGATTATATCTCTAATTATAAACTTTATTGAAAGAATCTGCTATTATTTCTTTCTAATAAGTGATTAAAAGAAAAAAATTACCTTTTCCTTTACACAGTATCGATAATTGCCTATTAGTGGACTGGTACATATAAAAACTTCAACACTGCAAAATTAAAATTGTATTAACAAGATTAAAATTTTTTCCTGCAATGACAAGACTGAAATTAGAAAAATTCAAACTCTGTTCAAAGAGAAGAGATGATGGTTGAGTTGTGGTGAGTTAGAAAAATGAAGTTTGATCTCTGTACTTAAGAGTAGGTAGGCAACTCAGGTTAAATTGAGTTAATTTATAAAGGAAAAACAGACATAATTCATACTTTGCATGAGCTAAAAGAAATCAAAAGAAGCTATTCCCATAACTGACCCAAGTATTTGAATGAATGCTTCCAATTCAATAGTGGGAATTCCATTTTCCTTATTAATCATTCATTTTCTTTTCTGTCTTGTGTTCATATTCTGAACCTTTTTTCTTCTAACCAAAATAACTTTTCTATTTTGTTCTAATTTTATCCATCAGGATTGCTTAATAATTAAGAAAATAAATATAAATGTATAAATGCAGTCAAATTTCTGGAAAGGTTTAAGTTGAAAAATGGCCACAATATGAATTATCAGATTTTGATTCTTGATAAAAATCCAAGAAATCGGTAATGTTATTGGTCCTGACCTGGTATCTTGGCTTCAGTCACTTTTACACTGCTATAATGTAGCTTCCCTGTGCCTTTTCCATAAATACTTTCATGGTATTTATTCTGATTAATTTTCCTCTATGGTACCTAGACTTTATGAATTTAAGCACAGTAGCAATGGTGGGAAAATCTCATCATTTTACAGTTGAAATATCTAGATATAATTGTAAGTTCTATGCTAACAGTTTCTTCTATAGCACTTCTTACTTGTTGAAATCTCTTCCAGATTCTTGCTTTTCAATCAACTTTTATCTTTAAAAATTTAAATGCAATGTCATTTATTATTGTCTGTCTTCTTAATCCATGTTCTTTTATTGTCCTCTCCTTTACAGTATTTTTTCTCATATTTTCTAACACTCAGTAACCTCTCGTGTCTTAGTGGCTTTACTTCCTTGCTTGGGGTGAAATGATTAAAAAAGAAAAAAAGGTACTCTGTTAAAGTGTTATATAATACTAAAAATGTATATGTCAGTTTATAAACGACTGTGTTCTCCAAGGTTTGCTTTGTTTTGTTGTGTAAAGATGCAAATTTTTATTACTAAATCATACTATGAGCTTTTGACTAGATCAACAGAACAATAAAATAAAGTAAATTAGGAAAAAATCTTTTCTTAAGGAAATAAAAAAAGAAGCTTGATTGAGAAAATCCATTTGCTACATATTTTATTTTTGCTGTTTTAAATTATCTTTTTAGAATGGTTTGATTTTATAAGTTACATTGAACCATTATTGAACCAGCTATGATATCAGGATTCAATTCAGAAAAGTAGGTTTTTTATAACTATCATCCTTTCTAGCTAAATGAAAATAATAAAATACTGCTTAATGAAAATCTTAAAAGTTTTAATTATATTATTTAGGCACTAAGGAAAAAAATATATCATAAATTATGTTTATAAATGTAAGTATTATCTATTTTCTTTGGATATGCATGCTTTTTCATCATAATTCCATTTATTTATTTAATTTTCCTTTGTCAAATTTACATTTTACATTAACATATTTCCTATGTACATGGATTTCTTCATAGATATTGATTCTTAAATTTTTCAAATTAACCACTGTTTTTTTTTTTTTTTTTTGTTTTGAAAATACTTGTTGCAAGTGAAAATAGAAATTTTTTTTCAATTGGTTTTCATGTATATGTTTAAAAGTTGGGTTTTATCATTCTTAAATCATTTCAGAATGTAAACAGTTGCCTTACAGAGTGACAGAAAATTTGTATCATCTTGGCTGTTTTAAAATTTGTGCACCTCACACACGAAAAAATGTATGAAAACCAGGTGATTTTTAAGGGTTTTTTTTTTTATATTTTTATGTTTAGAGGATATCAATTCAAGAAAATAATTTATCTTTAATTAAACCAAAGAAAGTATTTTCTTAAATTGCTAAAATAGCTTTTTAGGAATTTTCTTCAACTAATAAATTCCATCAACAAGTTTTGCCTCTTCAGACACTGATTCAACCATATTGAATTCTGAATGAGAGAAAATGTTTCTTTATATTTTATTATTTCTTTAACAGTTGTATCAGTTTTGCTGCAGTTTCGCTAATGCAAACATTTCTAATATTGTTGCTACTCTTATTTTTAAAAGCTTATTTTTAACAATCTATCTCTAAAGGGTAAAATTTTATTTTCAGCATTCAATTATTTACCCAAACCAAATGATTAAGAATATCATTTTCAACAAAGAATCAATGAAGAATGGCTTAGTCTTTATTTCCCCATATAATTAATACTTTCTCATAAATTATTCACATTAATAAAAAAATTTCTGCAAATTTATGTGAAAGTACAACTTTATAGAAACCTTTAAAATGGTTTACAATTAAAAATAGTTAAAATAGTTAGTTATTTTGATGATACCACATATCTGAAAATAACATTAAGATCTGTCTGTATCTCTGAGATAAGGTATTATAATTACTTGCATTATTTACATTACTCTGACTGTTATCCTCATCTTCATTGCCATATTCACAATGTTTCATCTGTTGTACACTCCGGCCTTCTTCAAGTGATTGAAATTTCAAACCAAACCCTTTATTTTTGTCCACCTGGGTAGATTGTTTGGTAAATTTTTATTTTAACATGTGCACTAAATATCCCTAAAATTTTCCAAAATTGTCATAATTCCGTGTAAATGTACATGCTGAACTCAAATTAACAAGTAAATTATGAAGAAACCTACTGTTTTGGAGTTATCGGCAAAAAAGAAATGGATTTCTTGTTGGTTGTTCATCCCCTATTACTGCTATAGTGTTTATTAATACGGTACGGGATATTCCAGCTGGCGTAATCAGAAATTGTAGCCTATTTACTTCTTTTACAGCTATATCTCTTTTTTGGAAATCACTATGCATTATCGTAATTTTTTTCCCTTTTGATAAGTGTAGTCTTATTTATAACAAGAAACTTTAAACAAAAACAAATTAAATAATACAATAAAACCTTTTTTTCTGTGTAGAATTGCAATGAAAAATTAAATAATGGAAATAAAGCATTTTTTTTATTTTAAAATTGAAAATAAAACAAAAATTAATGCACAAACTTGGTAAAAGTAGAAGGGTTGATTGTATTATTTAATTGTTTTTTTTAAATTTGTAAATAGGTCCCTAACCTTAACACCTAACCCTAAAGTTAATCTGTGTAGAAAAGGGGACAAATTAAAAAAAAAAAAATTAAATAATACAATAAACTGGGTTAACTTTAGAGTTAGGTGTTAAGGTTAGGAATGGGTTTTTCTTTCTGTGTAGAAAAGGGGACAAATTAAATAAAAAACATTAAATAATTTACCAAGTTTGTACATTAATTTTTTTTTATTTTCAATTTTAAAATATAAAAAAATGCTTTATTTTTATTATTTAATTTGTTCTTTTAATTTGTCATTGCTATTCGAAACAAAAAAGGTTCTATTGATTATTTAATTCGTTTTTGTTAAGAAAACTACACTTACCAAAAAAAAAAAATTTACATTTCTTTATGGTAGTGCGTAGTGGTTTTCTGCAAGGAAAGTCTGTAAAAGAAGTAAATAGGCCAAAGGCCACTGGAATTACTATGCAGTGAATCAGTATTCACGATACTAGTAATGGGGAATGAATGACCAACAAGAAGTCTGATTTTTTCTTGTTAACTACAAAATGGTAGGTTTCTTCATAATTTACTTGTTAATTTGACTTCAGCATGTATATTTGCATGGAATTATGACGATTTTGGAAAATTTTAAGGGATATTTAGCACAGGTGTTAAAATAGGAATTTACCAATTGTTCTAGTTCCACGTACCATGCCTCTTCCAGATATCTCAGTTATTTCCCTTTAACTCAACTCTCCAAGTTTGGTGTATTGAACTCATGGCCCAGTGGATAAAACCATTGGTTAGATCCAGTGACTAAACCCAAAGAGTTGTGAGTTCAGTACCAGGCCACATTTGTACAACAGGCAAAACATTGTGAATATGGTAATGAAGATAACAGTCTGAGTAATGTAAATAATGCAAGTAACATTAAAATTTTTTTTTTTGTTTCTTGAGAAGATTAAGATAATTCTGATTCAATTATATTGTTTTCTGAATGAGAGAAAATGTTTCCTTATATTTTATTTCTTTAACAGTTGAATTGATTGTATCAGTTTTGTTGCAGTTTCGCTACTGCAAACATTTCTAATATTGTTGCTATTCTTATTTTTAAAATCAAAATAAGGGTTTATTTACGATCAACTTGAATGAAGATATTTGTATTTATTTAGCTAAGTTAGGATTAAACCTTGTTAGATATATATAATCTCCCACCATTAAAAATTAGACCCAACATATTACGGAAACTATTTTTAACTTGTACTACTGAAGTTCCATTCTTTGACCACAAAAACAATATATATGTACAATGTGATGGTGTTTCTATGGGTTCAGTTCTGGGTCCAACTTTTAGTAACAATATTTTAAAAAAAAAAAACCTTCATTTACGTTGATGATATCCTCATCTTAGTAAAAAACATTCATGAATATACATGTACTACAAAAAGAATTTAAAAAAAACTGTCCTTAAATTTACATATGCACTTAATAAGAACAAAAATTCTTTCTTTGATATATTGATAGATAATAATACATTCATTACCCCCATATAAAAAACCTACTAGCATAAAATTATGAACTTTTAATTATAAGAGCAAATATCTTAACTACTACAAAATAACAATGGTACAAAATTTATTAAACAGTGCAAAAGTTAACTTTTCCACAAAAAAGATTTTCTACACTGAACTAAAAAATATTAAACAAACTCTCATTAATAATGACTTTTCTAACTAAATTGCTGATAAACAAATAAGGTGATCTATTAGTAATTTTAATACAAATCAAATAGAACAGAATAAATCCTCAAATAACCCTAAACATATCAATCTTTTATATTGTAATCAGATGCATTCTAAATATAAACAAAACAAGAAATACTAAAAATATCATAAATACTAATAAATCCCTCACAGATCCCATTAAAAAATAAAATTAATTATATACTATACTAAATGCAATACTAACTTAATCATTTGCAATAACTCCTCCCCATTAACATATTGCAAAAAACCAACATTATATATCAATTGAAATGTCCCTTAGGAGATTGCATCTCTAATAAAAATGCTAATATATATGTTGGTTATGCCACAATCACATTATCAAGAAAGCTTACAATATACAGGAATGATTCATCCACCATTCCACAACATCTACAAAAACATCCCTGTCCACATTCACAATTTAGAAGAATATTAGTGGACAATACCTCTATATTTCACCAAGAAAGTAATAAGCAGAAACTACAAATTCTTGAATCTATCTTTATTAAAAAATTAAAACCAACACATAACAAAATTAATTATGAATATAGTAGAAATGTTCTGAAATGCTTATAGTATATAGTTTTTAAAAAAATATATTTAAGTTACAACTAAACAGCTTAAAAACAAGTAAATTATAACCTATTAATATTTCAATTATTAACTAAGTTACCTCCCTTACATTAAAATTTTTAAAAAATTATGTAATTGATGTTATGTTCACAAGTATATTCACAATTGTAATAATTTAACCACAAAGAATTTCTCTTACAACATAAAATTTTTAAAATCAGTGTTTGTGACTTTGCACATGACCTGAATTGTTAATGGTTTAACCACAAAAGAAAAAAAATTATTTTGAAACAAGCACATTTATTTGTCATAGCCATCAAAACCCTGATGATAATATTGTAAAATATTAAAACTACTCAGGGAAAAAATAAAAATGAATAAATATAACCACAGTACCATTCTTACTGTTTTTGATCATGAAATAAGAAAGCTTATGTGATTACAAAAGGATTTTATGGAAAATAAACACTTGTCTAAATCAGACATGTTTAAATGAAAATATGCTGCCAGTATATATATATATATATATATATATATATATATATATAAAAATCAAATTCTACAGCTTAGTAAAATCTTTGAAAATGATCTCAGTATACTTTTAAAATTTAAGAAAACAAAGAAATAACAACTTTCATAGATATAGAAAGGTCAATTTATAACTACATATCAAAATTGATATTGTTTTTTAAGTAAAATCTATAATATACAATTGGTTAAAAAAATTACCTACTTTTCTATCTGGTTCATTTCTTTGACTGCTGCAACGGCACCAGGAATTTCCGGAATGTTGACAAAAAATCCTTCAGCACAATAGATTTCTCGGCATTTCAACTAAAAAGATTGTCAACAAATAATAGGCATATTGAGTTTGCAATAACTTTAATTATAAAAATAAACTGAACCTTTTTACATATACAATTGATTTACCTAAACATAAAACAAGACAAACTAATTAGAAAAGTATGTCAAATAAGGAAATAATTAAAAAGAAATATTTTTAATTATTACACAAAGATCAAAATACCAAATATTAAAACAACAAATAAGGAGGAGATGACAAGAGAACTGCATTCTAAAATCATCTATCCATTTCTCTTAAGAATTTCTAAAGAATGAAAAAAAAAAAGCAATAAATTTGGGAATTCAGTTGCAATTTAACACTTGTTTTTTCTTTAAAAAATAACCTTCATTTTCCAATCTTAAATTTATGTACTGAAAAAAAAAATCAAATTAAAAATAAGATTTTACAATTATTATTTTTGTCCAACATTTTGATATTTTATTAATATTACATGATTCTAGGTAGTAGTAGGTAGCTATTCTCATCTCTGTTATTTATTGTCACAAACACACACATGCACTATATATATATATATATATATAACTTTTCAGTTAGTTCATTTTCTATTTTTTTCATGAAATTTGATTCTCCAGTTATTAATCATCTCTTGGTTGCATTGCAATCAATTTAGTAGTTTTTCTGAGTTCAGGCTAGAGAATAAATTAAACAAAATATTATGAATCCTAAACAACAAAGATGGGCATAATAAAAAAAAATATTCAAAATCTTAGATGAAAACACTGACAAAACTCCTCAGAGTATGAAATCTTACCAGATCTCTTACTGAAGATGTTAGAACTCATGGTAAACATTCTACAGAATAATTTAAAGAAATTGCACTGAAGCCAACCAGGTGGCTCAGATATATTAACTAAAATTCTGGCCATACTTAGTGTTGTAGCATACCTATGAACGATAATGGGTATGTCCCCATTCACATAAATACAGTAGTAAATACTGTATGTTGGTCTGCAGTCGGAGATTCGTCTCCAGCTGTGCTGGTCAAACACTCAGCCTCATCTGGGGGTCCTCTCTGCCTGGAGGCAATGTTGAAGGGCAAAGTCTCGTCTTTGGAAAAGGCTACCTGACCCTGTTTTATATGGGGTCTACAGGGAATTTTTGGCTGTGCCTACAGGCTCGGATACCCCACATTAAATTCAGCCTTGTGCTACATCTTACCACATGGGGCAGTTGGTAGATATCCTGCAGTTGGAGATTCATTGTGGAATTCACTTGACTCACTTCTAGCAGTTGACTATTTCTTCTATGCACTGCTGGCAAATCTTATGCGTTGTTCTAAGTATTATCATTCATTACCAACCTTTGTTTCATTATTCTATTCAGTAATGTCATTAGGTTACAACACTTAGAGAATACTTAGGTATTCTTAGATTATTTGAACTCTGTCAAATTATCCATAGAAAAGAAATTAGCTTTCTTAAACATCTTGATAACTTGAAAAACTTAAACCAAAAACCAACATTCAACAATTCTCTCATCATCACTAGGTTATTAAGTTTTTTTGTTTTTTTTTTTTACAAAAGGGTTACTTTAAAACCTATAACAATCAAAACAAACACATGATTATCAATATGAAATGACTGATATATGATGCACACTCCATATGAACCCATTGTACATAATATTTGGATCTCAGAAAATCAAAATAATATAGCAGTTATCAAAGGAAAAGCAGGAATACATGATTTCTTCGCTGTACTAATTTAAACCAGTTTCAGAAATGTAAGTACATTTATCAAACCTATAGAACAATGTGAAAAGCTAATATTAAATTAATCAAAATTAATAGATACTACCAGTAATACCACCTTGCCTGTTGCTCTGAGAAATACCAAAAAGAACGCAGCATGGAATCCTACTGATAAAGATTTGTAGGAGGAACTTATTTCATTTGTTAATGTCGAATAAAAATATTGGAAACATCTACTATAAAATAATTATTTATTTATATCTTTCATGGCATGCTCTTAGTGGAAAAAGAGCTAAATCAATTTAAGGTAGTAAACTTATGTGTGGTTACTTCCCTTAGTCATTTTAATAATCTATACAAATAAAATATCTTTAGATAAAATTAGTTTTTGAGCAAAATTAATCATTTAAGTAATGAGTATCATTACAACTGTATTTATTACATGGCAGTCTTATTTGTTAACGCCTTAGATACATTTGTTACAAAGTTTTTTTCTTGCTTCAACTAGGTCTTGAGATAGGCATTATTGTTGTTGCCATCTTTGTTATTCTGTTGCTAATCTTTTTCTTTTGAGAGATGTTTCCACTTTCAGTTAGTTATTTTTAATATGAAAAGATATTGAGCAAAAAGTAATTTATACAATGCCAAGAGTAATCAATAAACCATAGATATTATTAACCCATTGAACATCTAAAAACTATAAAGCAGATGAATTAAACTATTCATTCACTTTTATTTTAGGTGTGAATTCTGGATCTCTGCTTTATTGAATCTCAGTATGTTGTTTTAAAACTTTTGTTTTATTTCATCTCAATATTAAAACTTTCTAACAATTGCACCATTTTTGACGACTTGGGGACTCTAGTTATTAATAAAGAAGCAAAAGCATTTGGATGTAGCTATTTTTACTTTTGTAAAATATTTCAATTTTGCCATTTATTTGTAAATTTCATTTTTTGATAATTTTCACAAATATTTTACTTAAAATATCAAATTTGAACTTAATCCCTAATAAAAATTATCATCCATGAAATGGGTTTATAGAAAAAAACCCTACAATTTGGCAATTGATTTATTATGAAAAATAACTCAATAATTAAATAAATTTTTTTTTCAGAATAGTAGCAAAAAGAAAAAAATGGCTTTAAGAATGTTGCAAAAAGATTTGAATTTTTCTCAAATCTCTTTTTTGTAATATTCTTAAAGCAAGAAAAATATTTAGAGATTTTGTTGAGCAGAAAAACGCAAACAAAAAAATATTGGATAAAGACATGAAAACAACCAAATTATGAGCCCCAAGTAAACATCACCAAGACAAACATGTTATGTTGGATAAAGTACATGAAAACTGATTTTTCATGATGAATGTAGAGTTACATTGGAGTTGACCTAATGACTGAGCTAGAAGTTCATAGAAGTAGTCAAACAACATGACTTAGAAGACAACAAATGAGAAGTGGAATATTTTGGGCTACGATTGTAAGCAGTAAAATTCCCTTCAAATTTGATGATTATGGCAAGATAAATATAGAGAATTATTCACAAAATGAAACCATCTAAATTCAGTGTAACAAAACTTGGTGCACCCCTCCCCTCCAAAAAATGAACAAATTAACCTGCTTTTAAAAGTTCCTAATATAGCAAGGTTTAAGTATGGTATGAGTTATTTGAAACATGTTTGAATTTTATTTATTTCCTTATAAAAAGAAAACCCCAAAAAACATTGAATCAGACAACATGCAAGGCCACTAAGATGTAAAAAGTTACTGATTATGAAAGAAATTAAGGAAATAGACAATGAACAAGATTCAAAAAGATGAGAGCAATTGATGTTGCATTTAAATTTTTAAGGTTCATGGATGACTGGAAAGCAAGCTGCTAGAAGAGTTTCAGAAGCAAGAAGTGTAAGAGAAAAAACTATTAGAATAGAAATTAATGTTAATATCTTGGTTACCATCTTGGAAAAAAAGAAGGACTACCTGCCCTTGGGGTAATTGGACCTTGGAGAAAAAAAATGGGCCACACATGCTGAATGGATTCCCACTATGAACATGAGCACTTACAGTTACATGTAGCAATTTCAACAGCAATCTAGCACTATGCTTAAATTCATAAAGTTGAGGAAAACTGTTAATATTTATAGGAAAGGCACATATTATGATGGTAGGAAACTTATTTAATAAGAGGGTTTATCTTGATATAACACTATCATCACTATTAAAGCTATTACAGCAAGAATTGGTCAAGTAGTAATGCATAAAAATATTTTTAATAATATTAAAATTGTATGAGAAAAAAATAATTAAAATGTTTGAAATGTGTAAAAGTTAATATGAAAATCATTTTTAGTAAAACAAATAATATTATATTGTATGAAAAATAATTAAGAAAATTAGAATGTTACTAACACATTTTCTTTGTAAAAGAAACCACCAAAATGAAGCCTGACTATATAAAAATAAAACCTGAATAAAAATTGATGTGTAAAGATTTAAAAAAAAAAAAAAGAAAGAAAAAAAGAGGCCTCAAATTGATGTTATAAAAACCTGCTAAAATAAAGGTTTAAACATTCTATGACAAAGATTTACAAAATGAGCATTGATTTTGATATTGTCAAAAACTTGCCAAATTTTAGTTGCAAATGGGTTCAGTTTGATTGGATAGTAATTCTTGAATTTTTAACGAATGGGAATAAAAAGTATACACTTTCTAAGTAGTTGGTTCTTGATCCACTTAGAGCTACCTGTCTTGCTATATAAAAGGGAAAAATTTAGCTATGGAAGAAGAAAGGAATAGACCACTGAGGTGAGAAAGCTGTGATCTGGGCTGAAAGTATTGAGTCAATACTATTGACTGTTTCAGGCATATAGAGGCTGTGATCTAGGACAAGAAGAGATTGACTCTTGCAAGAAAACTCTGATCTAGGATGATGAAACCTGCTACTGCAGACAAGAAAGGATTTGACCATATTTATGTAATAAATTTTGCTACCAAAGTTTTGTTATTACAACTTGTATTGAGGGACCAAAGTTTTAATTTAAATGCCAAATCCAAATAGAAGCAATGTAAGCTGCTTAGGCAAAGTTTGGCATAGTCATTGATAAAAACATGAGCGTCTGGAATTAAAAAATTCACAAGAAAATATTTCATATTTAAATCATACCAATTTTGAAAATGACTAGTAATTTTGTGCGATTTATACTAACAAAAAAAATTTCTGATTATTCTATAAATCATAAAAAACTTAGACAAAAAAGATTTTATAAATTCCTTTTAAGG